CGGCTTTATAGTTATTGTTGTTTGTTATTGTATTAGAAAGTTATTGCTATCCTTTCTCTTCCCTCTTGTATTTTCTCTTTCTTCTCTGAAAAGAAAATACCGGATAGCTCAGTTGTTAGAGTATCTTCTTGGAAAGTAAAAAGATAGGTATGATCGATTTTTCTATCGATCGAGGGTTCAATCCCTTCTCCAGAAATCTTTCTTTTCCATTCCTTATTCTAGAAGATACTAATTGGAAAGTTGGTAAGTTAACAACTTAACAAAGACATCATCCACACCTGCAGGGTTTAAAAAACGAGAAAATTGGATTGGAGCCGTATTGGAACTGTATTAGATCAAAAAAAAGAACCGTATTGGAACCGTATTAGATCAAAAAAGAACCGTATTGGAGCCGTATTGGAACCGTATCGGAACCGTATTGGATCAAAAAAGAACCGTATTGGAACCGTATTAGATCAAAATAGGAACCGTGAAATCGATATCTTGTCTTCGAAGACTTGGATTGGACTTGGACTTTGGAGTTTTGAGTTAAAAATCTTTATATTGAGATCTCAAGGGGAAAATAAACTCAAAGAAAGTGAAACAAAAGATGCAACTTATTAGTGTTAGCAAATCCTTGGGAGTTGCAAATGAACCAAGAGCAAAAAAAATGCAATTGAAGCAAGATTTACTGCAATAATTCTGCAATAGCGAATTCTAATAAGACTTAAAAATCCCCAATTAGCGAACAGGAAGCTAGAAATGAATGAAAAAGCAACTAATTAAGAGAGAAAGTTTTGAAAAGTTTTAGCAAATTCCTAGAAAAATTCAGTAAACAACGTCTTGAGATACTTTGTAGCTTGTAAAAGGGTACTTTTACATGGGTACTTTTACAAGGGTACTTTTACAGGGTACCTTTACAAGGGTACTTTTACAAGGGTACTTTTACAAGCACTTTTACATGGGTACTTTTACATGGGTACTTTTACAAGGGTACTTTTACAAGGGTACTTTTACAAGGGCACTTTTACAAGGGTACTTTTACAAGGGTACTTTTACAAGGGTACTTTTACAAGGTACTTTTACAAGGGTACTTTTACAGGGTACCTTTACAAGGGTACTTTTACAAGGGTACTTTTACAAGGGTACCTTTACAAGGGTACTTTTACAAGGGTACTTTTACAGGGTACCTTTACAAGGGTACTTTTACAGGGTACTTTTACATAGGTACTTTTACAAGTACTTTTACATCCAAAAGAGTACTTTTACAAGTAAAAGCATAAAGTTTTCATTTTCTAACAAAAACAAGATCCCAAAGTCTCTATTTGTATGACTAAAGGCAAAAGTTCATTCGTCGATTCAAAATCAACTCAAATGTACTCAAAAATAAACGTTCACAAATTAATTTTTTTTTCTTAAAACCCCCCCTTTCAACCAACATCTGGATAAACTTTTTGCCTTTTTCTTGAAATCAAAATTTTCCCGGAACATTAAAAAGTGAAAAATCCCCACAAAAAAACCCTATTTTTATCTTTTCACACACTAATTTTCCCCCTTTTCCCCCCTTCAAAAATGAGCAAAAATAAAAAAATAAGAAAAAGAACAGAAAGTTCAAAAAAAAAGACTCAAGTTATTCAGCTAATTAACTAAAATATCGTCTTTCGTCTTTCAAAATATCGTTACAATGTTTTGGTTTGATTGAGAGCTTTTGGAAAATAAAATATAGGTATTTAGAACTTGGTTGGATTGAAAATTGGTAAAATATCGGTATCTAGGTTGGAAAAGAAACAAATTGACATTTTTATCTAGAGGTTCTTCAGAATTTGTGCTCGAGATGACTACTTTAAAATTAATGATGTAAATGGTCCTTTTTGACGCAATAAATCCTATATTTTTGCGCGCAATCCTATATGTTTCCAAAAAAAACCCAATTTTTATCTTTTCACACACTAATTTTCCCCCTTCTAACATGAGTAAAAGTATCAAAATAAGAAAAAGAACAGAAAGTTCAAAAAAAGACTCAATTTATACAGCTAATACATATAAAAACAACTATTAAGTCTTTCAAAATATCGTTACAATGTTTTGGTTTGAATCAGAGCTTTTGGAGAATAAAATATAGGTATTTAGAACCTTTTCTAGGTTGGAGGGCTATCAATGATCAAATTGACAAATTGACATTTTTATCCAGAAACAAATTGACATTTTTATCTAGAGGTTCTTCAGGATTTTTTTCTCGAGATGACTACTTTAAAATCAATGATGTAAATGATCCTTTTTGACGCAATAAATCCTATATTTTTGCGCGCAATCCTATATTTTTGCAGCTCATAAAGATAAAGCTTATAAAGAGAATCGAGTTTGCATTGAAATTGAGGAATTTGGTACAGAAAAGTTTTCTAGAAAGCTTTCTAGCTTTCTAGTTTTCTAGAAATCATTTGACTTGACTTTATCTGGAATTTCTTTCCGATCCGATTAGCTAATTGTTTTTGTATCTAAAATTATCTTAGAAAAATCCCCAGATTTTGAATCAATAGTAAGAATGGAGAATTTCAGTGAAAGGTTCACGAGAAATGAGGAGAAAATGGAAAAACGTGGAGGGGATTTTGTGGCTTTTTACTGAGGACACGTTCGGCCCACTTCAAGCCAACGACACAAAGAAAAAGGAAGTGAAATCTTTTATTCTGCTTGGTTACAAAAAGAAATGTCTCTGTCTCTTTACAGTAAGAAAATATAGGAATATAGTACGACCGGAGGGAGATATTTAAGTTTTACGACATTCTTACAGCTGCACTTTATGCTTAGAAATGGCTCAGGTTTAGGAATGGTTCAGGCTAAGAGATGGCTAAGGCTTAGAAATGGCTCAGGTTTAGAAATGGCTCAGGTTTAGAAATGGCTCAGGTTTAGAAATGGCTAAGGCTTAGAAGTGGCTCAGGCTCAGAAATGGCTCAGGCTTAGAAATGGCTAAGGCTTAGAAATGGTTCAGGCTTAGAAATGGCTCAGACTCAGAGATGACTCAGGCTTAGAAATGGCCCTTCTGGCTCATTTTCAAAGAAGCCAATGAACCAGTGGAAACTAGTAATAGAAAATCTGCAATTCATACTTGTTAGAGGAAACCACGTAAGCAGTAAAAGGTTGAAAGCACACAGAAAAGATTTTTGCATTCTGACTTTTGAAAGGGTTAACTTGCCGTCTTGTGGTCAATCTGCCGCACTTCCCGTCACCCTCTCAACTCTAAATGGACTCCTATTGGGGATGAGGAAGAACTTCTTTTAATGTACACACATCATTTCCATAAAGATTTGCATAAAGATGAGGAAATTCGGGTTTTTTGGAAGTGACTAGGGAACGTTCTTTTCGCCCACATTACGTGATTGTCTTTGAAAAGGCCACTTTTGCAGTTTTAACAAATATCCACTTATGGCCACTTTAGAACTCTTTAATATTTGAAACCTTTCTTCTAGATTCAGTTTTAATTTGTATTTTAACAGATCACCAAAGACTTACTAGTTTTTCAAAAGTCTTTAACAGATCACCAAAGTCTTTCAAAAGTTCAGATTGGTAATCAAGAAGTGAAGGGATTGGCAAGAAAAAGATTTCTCGAGGAGATTGAACCATTGACCTTTTGTTTTTTAGGCAATTGTTCTAACCACTAAGCTATCCGGTACCTTAACTTGACAAGAGAAAGAGGAAAGATAAGGAGGAAGAAGAAAGAAAGAAGGAAAGTTAGTTTTGAATCATTAGGGATAGCTTTAAGTACTCTACAAGTACAACTACAACAGGTACCAATCTCAAAAAGAAACCCGGCTGGCCTAGAACAAAAACGAGGATTAGACTCATCATCAAGTAAAGCATAGGGCTCTATCCTAGCGGCAATTGGATACGTGCAGCTCATTGGTAGATTCCGGTAAGCAAGTCCAGGTTCGAATCCGGTCCAGCCCGGTAAGCGAGTGCAGGTTCGAATCCGGTCCAGCCCGGTAAGCGAGTGCAGGTTCGAATCCCGGCGCCGACCAAGTTTTTTATTCTTAACCCCAAAAGGACTCGCATGTCCAACCAATCAACTTCTTTTGGACATAAAAGCTTGGCTATTATAAGCTAAACAAAGCGTCAATCAGTCAGTCAAGCACGTCTTGACCAGGGTCCAAATCCAGATCTGTGGACTCTTGTGAAGAGCTGGGTAGAGCTGGAGAGCTGGAAAAATCAATGTTGAAACATTCTTACCCGATTTATCAATTAGAAACTTATGTAAACAGTAACTGGCAGTTAGCTAGTTAGCTGTTCGAAGTTGTTCTAAGCTGTTTTTGCTATTGTCTTGCTTGTTGATCAATTGCAGTCCTAAGAAATCGCTTTCGTGGGCGTTTTTGGTTGATTCTAAAAGGAGAAACTTTTCTCTTAACCCAAAATAAAGAAAATCTTCTAACTGATTTCATCTTTATCTAAAAAGAAACTGAAAAATATAGCTTTTTAGCTTTTTAGCTTTCAAAAAAAAAAGAAATCCATTAGTTGAACCTATTCAAAACTATTCTTCCGTAATGGAATTTTGCTTTTATTATTATAAAATCTTTTATTCTTTCTTTTATTCTTTCTTTTATTCTTTCTTTTATTCTTTCTTTTATTCTTTCTTTTATTCTTTCTTTTATTTTATCATTCTCAATTCTCTTTTAGTTATCTTATGGTATTCTCAAAAATATTGAAAAAGTTATAAACAAAATAAAGATTTATTCCAAAATTATCACCGTAAAAGATATGGCAGTTTACAAAACCCAAAAAGATAACAATAGCAATAAGACAACAATAGCAATAAGATAGCAATAGCAATAAGATAACAATAGCAATAGGATAACAATAGCAATAAGATAGCAGTAGCAATAAGATAGCAATAACAATAAGATAACAATAGCAATAAGATAACAATAAGCAAAGCTAACCCTTAAAACTTAGACAATCAGCTAAAAGTTAAAGTAAAGAACATATCTAATAATCAAAAAAAACCAAAGCCTTATCCAATTACACAAAAATTATTCAGCTTTCTCTTTCCGTGTCGCCTCCATTTGAATCGGCAACTTCAGCGTGTAGAGGAATGAAGCAAGCACTGAAGATCATTCTGACTCTGATAAGATACAAGTTTTGTTTTTTTATGCCTAGGTCTTCTATATTCTAAAACTGAAAACAGATAGATAAAAGATTTGAAGTTAGAAGTATTGTTAATATCAGAGAAAGATTCTGAGCTGCTTAAGTTGAAGATCTGTAAGGATTAGACAAAACTTTATCAGGATCTCGAAGTGGCAACTTTATCAACTCAGGATCTCGAAGTGGCAGTGACCTCAAAGAGACGCTGCCACTGCCACTGCCACTTGTGGTCCTTTTCTTTTAAAGTCATCCGAGTTTAACTTCTTTTCCTAGCTTCAGATGCAAAGAGACAAATGGTAGAATTAGAAGGGAAAGGGATTTATTGGACACCGCGATAACGCAATGGAAAACAAGGTTTTATAAAAATTCCTTTAGCATTAGAATTGTTATTCTGAGAATTGTAAGAGTTGGGGTACTTCCAGTCAAATTTCTTTTTACATTTATTTCTTCTTCTCTTCTCTTCATCTGATGTTTGTGTTCGTTGAGAAGTGCTTGGTGAAAGAAGTGTCTAGGAGGTCTCGATCCAAAGTTCCCATTGGGAGACCTGACAAAATGGATAGTGCCAATCGATAGTGTCGATCGATAGTGTCGATCGATAGTGTCGATCGATTCCCCTGACCAAATAGCCGAGATACTCAAGACTGAGAGGTGAAAAGTTGATTTCATCTTTTCACACCGAATAAATCAATGATTTCAATGATTCCTACAAACCTACAAAACCAAATTCTATTATTCTATTACTGCATTGATAATTTGGTTTTAATGAGAATCAGTCCTGCCTTTAATTGCCTAATTTGAATCCTGCCTTTAAATTTGCTAAGTTCAACCCGGCTAAATCTGGATCATGTCAGGATCCTATTTCTACTTGTTTACGAGATTACGAGTTGTAAATTGTTCAAGGCAAATGTTCAAAGCAAACTGTTCAAGGCAAACTGCTCAAGCCAAACAGTTCAAGGCAAACTGTTCAAGGTAAACCTGTAACTTTAGTAACCTGTCATATAGCACCATTCAATGACGCTTGTCAATTGAATTCAAACGTACCGGTGAGCCCGAAAAAGAGTAATCCCAACGAGGCGATCCCTTCCTCTCCTTGCAGCCAACTCAACGGTGCTCCAGCCAGCACAGAACCAACTGAAATTGTTGTTTTTTCGATTATTCAATAAAATATATATTTAAAATCTAATCTAGATCTAGAATTTGACGAATATTAGCCAAATATTTAGCTTACTATTAGCCACGAGTGAGATGAGGGCACTCGCCGAGCCTTGCACATTCAACGGAGCAATTCTCGAGATGCACAAGCCCCAGCAATTGATACAAGCCTGGAAATGGGTACGGTAGTTTTTAAATAAATGAAAATTCTCTTAAAATAGGTAGCTCTTTTTCGAGAATCTCTCATTTGACGCACTTGATACGAGAAGCCGCAGAGGAACCCGAAAACCGATGGTGCTGCCTGAAAAAATGGACAAATTTTTGCACAAAGCTTACAAAAGAAAAGAATTTTTATGCAAATTAGCATAAAGAGATCGGAAAATGTTTACCGATACGGTATAAATACTCAATGTGATGATGATCATCATGAAAATCGTTGAAATCCCCGCGCAATTCCGGATCGATGTCTGTAAAGTTTGTCTTTGTGATGAAATTCTTTAAAAATAAGCCTCAAATTTCAATAGATCATAAGGCTTTTGTTCTAAATTTCTTTTAAAAACAATTTTTTTTTCAATTTTTTAACACAAACTTCTACTCCAACACGTCGCGAAATGAAATCGACAATCATCCCAGAGACAAGCACGCCTGTTAGACTGAAACTTGATTTCATTATGGACTTTACTATTGTAAGTTTACCGTAACTGAACCTGGACCTGGCTACGGTAAGCCTAAACTGATCTAGAGCTAGGTTACGGCAATTCTAAACTGATCTAGAATTGGATTAATCCTAAATTGATCTAGAACTAGGTTACGGTAATCCTAAACTGATCTAGAACTGGATTACGGTGATCCTAAACTGATCTGGAGCTAGGTTACGGTAAGCCTAAACCTATCTAGAACTAGGTTACGGTAACTCAAAACTGATCTAGCACTAGGTTATGGTAAGCCTAAACTGATCTAGAATTGGATTAATCCCAAATTGATCTAGAACTAGGTTACGGTAATCCTAAACTGATCTAGAACTAGATTACGGTAACTCTGAACCTTAGCTTGGTTATGGTCTGGACTAGATAAGGTAACTTTGGATCTGAGTCTGGTAGCTTTGTACCTGAACTTAGGGTAACTGGACTTGGTACTCTTGACTAATCGACTAACTTGGCACAAGTAGTTACTTCGATTCTTTTCTAAGATCTTATCAAAACTACAATAGCTCTCCTCCACTCACCCTCCCGCCTCGTTGAAGAACTGAAAACCGCTTGGCGAGATCCCTCTCTCGATCAAATCCACCGGAAACCACGTCTCGCAAACAGTGCGCATCTGTAAGATTATTGACAATATTATCTAAAAATACTTTTATCCATTCTCACCGATAGCGGATATGCGTACGCAAAAGCCACATGAAGAACGGCTGTTGATGTGAGAACGTCTTTTAGACCAGTTTCCAGTTTCACTTCCTCTTCATCTTTGTTAACATTTTCCATTGAATTAAAATCTTCTCTCAAGAATTTGAAGGAGATCAAAAGCCAGAGGAGGGTACTTGCACCTGGAATTTGGTACTGTTATTGCTGATAGACAAGGTTGATCAGTACAAGGTTGATCAGGGATGATCAGTCTTTCCCACAGTTTACCAACTTCAGACAAAGCTCTATTCGAGTAGTGTAAGTAAAAGTCCTACCAGGTCAATCTACTTTAAAGTCCTATCGAATAACTGTAACTCCAGACAAAATAGTCCTATTGGTTATCTTATTTGGTCCTTGTTTGGTCCTTATTTGGCCCGAAATAGTCCTATTGGTTACCTGTTGGGTTACTGTAACTTCAAGGTTGTTGGGTTACTGTACGAGTTAAAGTCGATAGTGGCAATCAAGAAGTACAATAATGTTAGTTTTAATTAAAAAGTGACTCACCTGCATACCAGCAAGCGATTCTCCAGGGCAGAAAAGCGGCATACGGTAACACCATACCCGATATCGTGTTCGACGCCCCGAAAAGCGAGTACCACGAACCGAAATCGATCTCAGGACTCCACTGAAATAAAATAATTGCTTTACGATTCGAAAACGTGTCAACTTTAGAACAACTACTTTAGAAACATTAGAAATTTTCTAAAAAGTTTTTTCTGTCTTTTCTTTTCACTTTCAAATAGCCGACATTTGCGGCTTTTAGATTTGATTTCTATGATTTCCTTTTCTCCCAGCTAGCAAAGATTTTCAGAGCAAAGATTCGAGTGAAAGGCACTTCCATATTCACTACCACTAGATTTATCTACCACTAGATTTATCTACTACTAGATTTATCGCATTTCTAATCACTACCACTAGATTTATCGTGTCTTTTAAAGCTCCTTTAAAGCTCTTTTTTTACTATTTTCTTTCAACCACCGTAATCCATAACTCGAAACTTCTGTAATCTAGTTACCGTTCTCCTTTTGTCATTCAACTTCAAGTCTCAAACCTTTTTGATGAGCAATGTCGACGGTGTCCAACCGGCTCCCTGTACACATCCATTGATAATCACAGTTACAAGCAATTCGTAGAAAGATGTGCTCATCGAGGCGCTTACCGTAGCCAGCCCAACTCCAATCATGCCAAGGAAGATTAACTAGAGATCTTTATATAAAAATCTCTTTCCTAGCATTGTAAAACCTTAGATAGATGCTAGATTTGTGACTTAGTTGGTTCTGCAAAAATTTGAAACAATTCTAGTACTTTGACAGTCAAAAGTAAAGGTTAACTGTGTTTTCTTATTGCTATTTGTTAAATAGACTTACCGTAAATACTGTAAATAGTACCCCACCGCCCTCGTACAGTTGCGTAGTCGCAAAAGTTTTTTAGTATTTCATTTTGTTTCAAAGCGCCCGTACTTTCAAAAAATGCGTCCTTGGTATCAAAAAATAGCTGAAATTCAGGGCTATTTTTTGAAATTTAAACGAGCATTGTAGCATAAACCAGTGTCGAGAAAAACTCATTCAAAGCTAGACTACGCAACACTCCGCACCGTCATTACAGTATTTACGGTAAGTACTTTAATTGGCAGTGTTCTGTAAAAATACGGTGTCTATTGGACTACTGGTGTCTCATTCTTTAGTGTACTTTAGCGTAATGTACTGTCGCGTCGCGTAGTCGCAAAAGTTTTTTAGTATTTTGTTAATCAAAGCTTTTTTTCAAAGCACCCGTACTTTCAAAAAATGCGTCCTTGGTATCAAAAAATAGCTGAAATTCAGGGCTATTTTTTGATATTTAAACGAGCATTGTAGCATAAATCAGTGTCGAGAAAAACTCATTCAAAGTTAGACTACACAACACTCCGCACCGTCATTATGGGGGTGGGGTCCAATTACAGTATTTACGGTATCATTAAACCCGGACAGGGTCACTGTAACCAAAAAAAAAACTATTGAAGTACTTTACCTTCGAACAAGTCAGTGTTATTGGGTTACTTTACTTACTTCAAAAGATGCCCTATTTGATCACTTTAGCTTTAAACTAGATTTGCTCACTAAATCCAAACAAACCTTTGCAAACGGTATATGATCGGATAATGAAGCGAACACCACTTTCGAGATCGTGAAACAGAAGGCTTGTGCCGAGACGAGAATGCCTAAATTGTTAAGTCAAAGTCGAATTTTTCAAGCTTGTCCCAAGCTTCCCAATTTGTTTGTCTTTTCACCTTCAGTGTATTTACATAAAATCCTCTTTATTAATCCTATTCGAAATATAAAACTTGACAAATGGATCATCATTTAAACGAATGAGCAAAAGAAAAATAATTGACATAAAAAGAAACCCGCAAAGTGGTGACGAGAATTTCACAAAATATAAACACAGGTAAATGACATAAAGCAAAACTAAAAGTCTAGAAATTTTGTAAAAAAAATAATACTATTGTCGAAGCTCTTTTCTCGCGCGAAGTAGATCGCAGAAGAGCTCATAGAAAAGAAAGGCGAATCCCGAATTGGCGGCCGCTTTTATTTGTGATGGCCAGAGACCCTAGGAAAGACAATTATTCTACATCTACAGTATATCAACCTACAGTAAGCCTAGTAAGTAGTATACTGTAGAGTCTTTTTTTCTACACCTATTGCTCATTACTATTGTAGAAATTCGAAACTAAATTTTCATTACAGATCAATTTCAATTTTGTAACTTCTATTTTTGAGCCCAATCAATTAGAGTCAAAGTTACCTTAAACAGTCCATAAATCGATTCGTGTTTGATCACATGCCGGAACGTTCTTGTCATACCAATGCTGAAACTTTTTCAATGACAACTAGAAATATTAACGTACCTGTAATTTGACGATTTGCCAAAACCTTTCCTTTGGAAACCACGCATCTAAAGTTTTACGTTGAAGATGGAATCATTTTTCAAAAAAGAAAATGAAACTTACTTGCAATCGATGTCTGACCATGTCAAGTGGATAGAGGACAGTTTTCGCCGCTGTTCCTGCCATTGCACCACAAAGAAGAGCGCCACCTTAAGCATTTTGGAAAATAGATCTCAAGTGTTTAGCTTACTCATTTAAGCTTGATTTCATATTTAAAAATAGCAAAATTCTGCTTATCATCGCATAGGAATAACAATTCTCAACAGCTTTTAAAACCCTTTTCTCTCTTTCTGAATTTCAAATCAATCAGAAAAGCATTTTCTTTGATGTAAAATTATTCATATTTTCAAAAAAGCTGGATTATTTAAAAGTCAAATAATCTTCATCAAATACCTGAATCTTTTCCCTCGACAAACGTGTGATACCATCCGATGAAGAGATTGTAGAGCATAAATTGGAGACCGGTGAATGGCGCGATTTGGGCCACCGATGGCACCCAACTAAAATAAAAAGATAAAAATCTCAGGATGTAAAAATAATACTTTATTCGAAAAAGCATTTGCTTGCTTACCCTCTAAAGTATCCGGCGAGTCCCTCGTACTTATAGATTTTCATGATCGCATGGGAGGTGCTTCGATAGACTAACTAAATGAAAATGTTTTCAGGAAACTGATTTTTCACGTACAATAGCAGATTTTTAAATCCAAATATGATCCTTTCCGATCTACAAGACTAAAGTCAATTGTTTACCTTATCTTTGTCGATTCCCTGAGCGACAAGTCGCGTTCTGATCACATCAAGGGGCATTGCGGCCGTCATCGCGACACAACCTAAAGCAAAATTTCATAATAAGAATATAAAAAAACGTAAGTATCGTCTACTATAAGATATGCAAGGTAGAGTAGAGTAAAAACGTTATATGCAATATTATTTTACTTATATGTAAATAGTAAAAACGTTAGATGCAAATCGTTTTATTCAACCCACCAGCAAGCGCTCCACATAGAAAATCGGTGCCCTTCTCGAAGGATTTCGGCGGATTGAAGAGAACTGTAGCCTAAAATTGAAAAGATTCATGAAATTAGCCAGTTTTTAGGTTCACAAATGTTGACCAAAGCTAGAAATCATTTGAAATTTGAAAAATGCTCACCTGTTTTGTAAACCATTCAAAAGAGGCGAATTGCACGAGGCCATAGACAGCGGAGAGCCCTTGTGCTGGCACGTGACCTTTCCAAAACGCTAAGACTCCCTCCTCGCGTATGATCAGTCGAATCGATTGGCCAACACCCTAAAAATATAGATTTTCTGGTACTAATAAAGGTACTAATAGGGCACTTTGACTTGACCCGGCTAGAACCTATTTTACGCGTGTTTTTTCTAGTCCTGGTTTGCATTTTCTGTGATAATCAAATACGCTTAATCTATTGGTGATATTTTTAGAGTGTTTTGAATAGTTTCTCACTTTGTATTTCACCCTTGGCCTCATTTTCTAGCATTGTGGCACTGCAACAGTTTTACTTCAGCTAGCTCAACAAAATATTAACAAAGATTGGTCAAAACTTTCTAAAAATATCATCAATAGATGCAGCATGTTTGATTATCCAAGAAAAAATGAAATAACATTGGTAAAACCGTCAAAAAAATACGATCTGATTAAATCAGATCAAAGTGTACAAGTGTACGAACTAAAACAAAAGGAATAATTTGAAACCTAATAAAAACCTAGTGAATTTTATTAGTACCTAATTGTTGCTAATATTGCAAAAATGTTATATAAACGCTTTTTGTTCATAGAGTTGTAAATGTACCTTGTATTTTCCACTTTCTATCCCTCGTATCGGTTCTTCTTGCAATTGAAAGCGAATTTTCAGCACGTCGAGAGGCTAAAACAAAAGGAATAATTTAAAACCTAATAAAAATCTAGTGAAAGATACTTAGATATTTTTACTCTTCAGTCAGTCTCGATTTAATCAAAATACCTTACCTGAATGATGGCTCTTGTAGCGATTCCCGATGCAAGTCCAGCTTCCGAATGTTCTGTTGAGGAGAGCGCTTTCCCGTTGATTGGTTCGGGATGATATCCGACCATCGTTGTGGATTATAACTAAAGTAGAAACATTAGAGCTATTTAGGCAATTACGAGTCTAATAGTTTATTATTTACAATGTAGACATTCAAAAGTTAATTAAACTACATTTTAGGATCCAAATTTGCCTAACAGGCTTGAAAGGAAGGTTTATAGTGACTTTAAAAGTACTTTTGCCTAATTATCACACAAAAACAAACCTTTAGTTTACTATTCTTGTTCGATTTTCTTTCTTTCAATCGCTACTCGAAACATCTGAAAAGAAAAAGTAATCAAAAGAAAAAAGACAAAAGAAAATCGAAAGAAAAACAAAAGAGAACATAAATATTCGAAAAAAGAATAAAAGAAACGATAATGTTTTTAATCGAGAAATTTTTGTGCAATCAGCAAATTGAAATTGTTTTGTGTGTATTATGTGCGTTTGGTCGAACCTCTAGAATTTCAGAAAATCAAAGCTCTAGAAAGCTCTAGAATTTTAGAAAATCAAAGCTCTACAAAGCTCTAGAATTTTAGAAATTTCAAAATTTGTTTAAAATCATTTTCATATTGCAAATAAAACATTTTTTGAACGAAAATTGATTGATTTTCCATTAATTTCAAAACAAATTCCGAAAAATTTCTAAAATTAGAGAAAATTTTAGAGTCTCCCTTTACCTAATCGATCCCTGTCCACTTGCAGTTCATCCTGCAGCTCGCGGACGAAAATGTAGACGATTCGACGGCAAAACGTCGTCAGTGCATAGGCCACGAAGAGAACGGTGAACCTCAGCCACAACTCGTCACGCTTCAATTTCATCATTCTCTGAAAATCACTACACTACGCAACTAAAATGACTAAAATGAACTAAACTAAACAAAAAAGAGCTGAGCATATCAAAATAAATACGACTTTGGTGTCAATGAACAACATTGGAGAGTAGACTTGCTTAACCAGACGGATCAAAAAATCGGGTCGCGCAACTCCAGGCGCTTGATCTAGCCTTCAGAGCATCGGATTTCAATGAACTTTTTTTAAATTTAAAAGCCAAGATTTTAAGCTATCTAATGATATTCATCAATTATGTTTTTCATGAAAAATGAGTCAAAAACCTTATCCAGACTTAACAAGACAATTCTTCGTTATCTCGTTAATTCTCGATAAGGTTTTTGACTCATTTTTTAAAAGAAAAACATAAGTGATGAATATCACTAGAAAGCTTAAAATTTTGGCTTTTAAATAAAAAAAAGTTCATTGGAATCCGATGTTCTGAAGGCGCTGATCAAGTGCCTGGATTCGATGCTCTGATCAAATGCCTGGATTCGATGCTCTGATCAAGTGCCTGGATTCGATGCTCTGATCAAGTGCCTAGAGTTGCACGACCCATTTGACTCGTTAATTCTCGTTATGCAAGTCTATTGGAGAGTATTCGTCTCGAGATTTACGTTTTCTCAAAAATGTGTCACCTTTCAACAAACTAATGTAGTTTTGCGGATTACGGTAGTTTGAGAAAAGAGGGCATAGTTTAGAAAAGGCATTACTCGACAGGAAAGTACTACAAAAAGTGGGCTTGCATCATGCACGAGCCATGCTTTTGAGAGTAAAAAAATGAGGTGCCAGAAGTGAAAGTGAGATCAGAAAGGAGAAAACAGTGTCCAACTACTAAGAAAATTGTCCAATAAATCTTAGTTATGAAAAATTTCATGATAGTTGTAAAGAAAGTTGTCTTGAAAAAGATTGAATCAGAAAAATTCATGATATTTTATACCGGAAATGACAAAAAAATCAAAGCAAAGCAAAAGTTGGCAAAAGTACAGCCGCACTCTAGACAAAACCTCGTGCGGGCTTAAAAAACACCCCCCTCGTGTCTGCTCTATGCACCCGTAGACAGGAATTTGTCTAAAGAAAAGATAGAGTACGATAACTGACTATAGACTTGGTTATTTGGTGGATAGAAAGGGTAAAAACGGCCGCAGACTAGGGACGCGCTGACATCGACCCCCAGCTCTCACAACCTCTCCCGTCTCTCTCATCCACAATATACTCTATATTTTTCTTCCGTTGAAGAGCTTTTCCTCACTGTGTCCTCCATTTCTCATCATTCGTCTATCATTTCTGTTTTCTTTTCTTTTCGTCTATCATTTCTATATGATTTTCTATTTTTTTCTTTATTTTTCTTCTTCCATTTCCCCACAACTTTCGTTCTCATCCTTGTTTTTCTTTGCTTTCTTTCTCCTTCTTTCTCCTTCTTTCTCCTTCTTTCTCCTTCTTTCTCCTTCTTTCTCTCATTCACTCTTATATATTTTTATCTTTTCTCAACTACCCTTTTCTTTATATCCTTTGACATTTCAATTTGAATCCCTATCCTCTTTGTCTCCATCGCTCATTCTCCACTTTGGTTTCCTTTCTCTTTATACATTTCTCTTTCTCTTCTCCTTTCTCTCTTTCTCTTTATTTTCTACTCTCCCCACTCTCCCCATACCCTGTCTATCCTCATCAACTCACCATGTATTTGGTCTTCATTCTTCTATAAAACTTCCACTTTCTCATCCACAACCTGTCTATCCATTGCCAGTTCTTCTATTATGTTTTCTTTTCTTTATATCTTTCTGAATCTTTTCCACACTTTCCATTTCTCAATCCAATCTCCCCGATCTTTCTCTTTCCTCCGTTTTTCTTCTCTTCAATATCACTTATTCTCGTCCTTTTCCCAACAAAATTCCTCTCTCCTAAATGTTTTCAAAAATCCCGCGGCACCACGAAAAGCTTCGTAATTTTTTGAAAAGATTTTCACTTATTTTTGTCACCAACGATCGTTTTTTTGAAAAATTGAATTGAAAGTGTTCGTTTCTTTATAGAACTTTGATTTTCTCAACTAGGAGTCAACTGTCAACTGTCAACTGTCAACTATTTTGTCAACACTTTTTCCGGCTGATTCTTTGATTTGGTTGTGAAGAGTAGATATTCGAATTTAGGGTTAATTCCAAATCAAATCAAAATCTATCTATCTATAGTTCCTCTAGCTGTAGTTCTCAAATTCTAACAATTCCAACAGCTTTGCGATTTCAGTCACAAATCTAAAACTGATCTAGTTCTCCAAACTGTTAAAACTAGTTTCTAAAAGTTTTAAAATCTAATTTTTAAATCCCAGCATCCAGTTTCGTCATTATTTCTTTTTTTACCCCATTTTGCTTCATTCTTGTCTTTTTGCGGTCACCATCTAGTTTCTTTGGCGCATTTTTTTTGCCACTCTCGAGTTTTCCACTTTTTGAAATGATAAGCCTAATTCGAGACGATCTTTTCATTTTCCTGATTTGATTGAAAACTTGTTTTTCTATGAAATTTCCTGATCGACAAATGTTTTTTTCTTTTTATCCAATAAGTTCTACAACTATTTTTATCTCATTTTCCCATCATTCTCTTTATTTTCCCTTCGATCGTGAGTAGGGAAAAACGTCAGGAAAGTTTGTTTTCACACAAAAAAATTCTTTGGGTAAACATTTGTGTTTAATCTCCCAAAGTTTCTCACTACTATTTTGAGTAAATTTTATTGTTTAGCCAATTTTGATAAGTCAAAAAAGGTCTAAACTTTCCTTAGTAATGCCTTTTTTTCTACACCATAATCAAATCGATATATCATCCATAAAATGAATAGGTGAAAAGGTTTAAAAAGCACTACACAAAGCAACTATCGTAATTCAATTTGAATCCAATAAGTTCACACATTGCGATAGTTGGATTAGATTTAAATAGAATTTTCTGTGAGGGTTCACCAGGATACTGTCACGAGAACGGTATTATAGTTATAGCAATTGATTAGAGCTCTTGCTCTTGAGGAAAATGACCTGTGATGACAATCATCACTTTATTAATGACGTGTGCAATTGAAAACAATTCCTTTATTGACAAAGTGACTCCTTACACCCAAACAATCGAATATATCGCCTTTTTTCCCGCTCATTCTTTGGATATCTGATGAAACGTCCAATAATATCACGATAGCGCCTCTATCGTTTCGTACAATAATCTCGACATCGTTTGTTGAGAAATTTCTAGCGAGTTGGCAACTAGAGTTGACAACTTTGGAAAGAATTTGATGCGAAATAACGAAGTGTTAGAGATACCCGGAAACGTGATAAAAGTGCTTGAAGGTAATTAAACATTAAACACCAATCAATTGAAAACAACAAAAAAACAAAACCATAACATGAATGTGGGAGAAAAATGATAAACAAATAAGTAACCGGATAAACAAATAAACAACCGGATAAACAAATAAACAACCGGATAAACAAGTGACGTTAAATTAAGAGAGTGAAAAAAGTGAAAATGGTGGAATAACTCGACTCGGCTACGGTAGCCGGGGCGCGCAATAGGATATGCCGGTCGGCACAGATACCGAATGCAAAAAGATAACTAAAGATCGAATAAAGATTAAAGGCAAGATTAGTTTTTGATCCGTTTTAGAAAAAGCATTAACGAAAACGCAGAAAATTAACGAAAACGTCTATCGGCCTTCTCAAAAGGCCGATAGACGTGCGTTTTTTAAAACGTGACATCTTTAGATTACTGTAATCGTCCCCAAATGATGTCACAAAGCAATTTTACTCATTTTTTAGCAATTTTAGCAATTTGCTTATCTTGTTTCCCAAGTGAATCAAAAATTCTTCAAAGTCTTGAGCAGCTTTACAGTCATTCCATTTCCTGTCCTCTCTCGATGAGAATAATGTTTTTTTTTGAATATTCTTTCCACAAACATCCCATCGCTACATATCTTTCCACAAAATCAGCAGATGTTTTCTTAGACAGTGTGCCTTTCGTTGCCTTCTATTTCCAAAGATTTTCCAAAGAATTGCGCCAAACAAAGCTTATCTTTAAAAAGACGCCCTAAAATTGACTTTTCTCATTTTCTCATTCATTCATTACTGTACTCGATTTCTTTAAATGACTGTCTATTTAGATCAAACTTCGGGTGATCAGACCTTCGAAATTGGGGTCAGTTTTGTGTTTGTTATGTATCAATTTTTAGGTGAATTGCCTATAAAGAGTTCCTTCAAAGGCAACTATGACAAAATCAGGTCAAGCCAGGGTTGAATCTTGGTCTTGATCTAGTCTGATCCGCAAAAGTCTTTGACAATAAGCCTACTAGAAGTCAGATCTGGTTTCTGGTCTGTTACACTGACTGATTTTAAAATCTTTGTCGACGCCAGGTTCTTTGGTTTTTCTTCAGCTTTTTCTAGAGGATACCGTATTTTCTCTAATAGTAGTGTACCCTGAGCGTCGCTTAAATTCCTCGAAATCTCGAGAACCGCTTATCAGAACCTATCGATGCGGGGTCGGAAAATGTAGCTGACGATGAGATCTAGTGGAGGATTTGAGTTTTGAGTTTCTGTGACAAACTTGGAAACTGTAAAATAGTCATCAACTCGGCTTGGCCGGGTGCACTAATATTAGAGAAAATACGGTATCCTCTAGAAAAAGCTGAAGAAAAACCAAAGAACCTGGCGTCGGTAGTTGTGAATTTTTGAGATTGGTATAAACAGTACATAGAAAACGATTGTAATTCTATAGACAGCCATTCTTTTCAAAAAACCATCTCATATTGAATATTTAAACTATCCAATAGCTGAGCTGTTTAGGTTTCACCAGACGAGGTGTGGATGGTGTTGACTGGTGGTTCTCGGCCCACCTCGGCGGCTCAATCTCATAAACCCCCATCATCGTCCTCATCCGATTCTCCGAAAGAAACCCATGAGCGAAAGGTATCCAAAGGGGTCAAGATTGAGGAGGTTTGATTTTTCTTTTCTTTATCTGTCCAGAATTTGGGTTTTTCTGATGCAAAAGGTGTTCAAACTGGTTTTTTCGGCTTTTCTGTAGTTTTGGTTACTTCCTAAAATAGATGCTTTTTAGAAAAAGCATTAGACTGACTCTACTCCAAAACAAAGTCAATTCTTTAAATACTTTTTATCAGAAGAACTCAAGTCTTTTAGCCACTATAAAACTAACCGAGATTGCAAGCGGAATTTGCAGAAATGAGAGCCTACAAATTACAAAATGACTACAAACTACAAATGGTCGTAACTTTCTTCCCGTTAAACATTTTTCTGTAAAATTTTTACCAAAAGATAGAGGAATTCAAAAGCTTTAGAATGATAATAAATTCGTGCAGTTATAACGTAAACAGCACAAATCTCAAGTTGATTTTTGAGCCATTTTGTTTTTGATGGCGAGTTGTGTTTCGTTATTTAAAAATCAACTCGAAACTTGTGCTGTTTACGTTATAACTGCACAAATTTATTATCATTCTAAAGCTTTTGAATTCCTCTATCTTTTGGTAAGAAAATTTACAGAAAAATGTTTAACGGGAAGAAAGTTACGACCATTTGTAGTTTGTAGTCATTTTGTAATTTGTAGGTGGTCATGTCTATTGCAGACCTGAAATAAGGAGTAGTTGGAGCCAAACTTGAAAGGAAAATCCATTACTCGTATAGATTACTGTAACATGTACATTGCTGAGATACCGAAATCCTTTTCTTTATCCAAATCTTTTGCTAATCCTCCCGGGAAAATTTGACTCCAACTGCGCCTAAGATTTCCATTTCGGTGTTCGGTTTCTTTTTTCTTTTGCATGTTCCTATTCTAAAGAAAAGTTTTAGATTCTTTTACTTATTAAGATTTTATCTAGGTTCCCTCATACTGTAACTCGTCGGGATCATCGGTGAACGAATTAGTCACCAACTCTCCATCTCCACCACCGCCAGCGCGACGACGCTTGCGCACGGTTTCGGGCAGTCGAACTGAGAATCATATCATCAACACACCCAGTGGAAAGGTTTGGATTTGAACTTGAAACCTTTGGCTTCAGATTTTAGCTAGATTTTAGCTATTTTTTAGCTATTTTTTAGCTATATTTTAGCTATATTTTAGCTATTTTAGTGTACATTAAAGATTAGAATCCTCTGACACTGGAATTGAGCTTTTAGAATTGATTTTTGAGCTGGATTCAAAGCTGAAAGTTTGAAAGCTGGATTCAAAGTCTAATTATTGAACTAATTTCTATAAAATTTGAATTTAGCTCTTAATTTTGTCGATTTTGTGTATTTTTAGAAGATCTACACGAAAGGCCGTCCACCATGGTATGATCGAGGCGGGAAAAATCTCAAACAACCGTGAGTTTTAAGGAAATTCATCCTGTTCTTTATGCTCTGATAAACATTGTGCTTCTGGAGCACTAAAGGATGTCAGTGTCCCAGAGTGATTGTGCTTACAAAAGCACAAAGTATAAGCAGGGCTCACTAGGCAGCTATTCAATGGAAATGATAGAACTGTTTCTAAACATTGTAATACTATTTACGAGAGCTAAAGAATAGGGTAGATATTTTCAATATCTTGTAAAATATCTATTTAGCTACGTGATCGGAATCTGTGGCGGATCAGCTAGTGGGAAAACTACCGTAGCTGCAAAGATCATCGAACTCCTCGAAATCCCTTGGGTCACCATTCTCTCAATGGACAGCTTCTACAAGGTAAAGTTCAACAACTAGACAACAATAGTCATTCAGTTTACAGGAACTTTCAGCAATAAAGGTAAATTTGTGAAATTTTTTGGTGGAGGAGCACCAAAAGAGAAAACTCTAATAGCTTCCAGAAGATTTCTAGAAAGATCTTTGCTCTTACATGTATCTTTGTCGCTTTTTTTCTGTTTGTCGGTTGGGAAATGTGTCCGAGTCTGTCCTATCGATTAATAATTCTTATATCAATTAATAATTTCTAATTTTTAGGTCCTTAGCGAGGATCAACACACACTCGCCGCCAATTCACAATACAACTTTGATCACCCAGATGCGTTCGATTTCGATCTACTAGCTGATTGTTTGGCTCGGCTCAAAGAGGGGAAAAGTGTCGAGGTTGGTGAAATTAAGTAAGAGATTAAGTAAGAAATGATGTAAGAAATAATGTAAGAAATGAAATAGAAATCAAATAGAATTCAAATAGAATTCAAATAGAATTCAAATAGAATTCAAATAGAATTCAAATAGATTCAAATAAAAATTAAATAAATACAAAAAAAGTTTACGTAAAATAGATAGAAAGTAGCGTAAAATAACTGATTTTTGTCGGCTTTTCATTTCCAGAAAACACCAAAGATTGAGCATGTTTTTTTTGAAAACTTTCTTTTTTGCAATACATTTGAAACATTCTAACATTCTAACATTTTAAACATTTAAACATAAGATAAAGTGATCCGCAATTAGGCAAAATTTTGCTATTTTAAGAATCTTGATCTCACATGAGCCTAAGCGTTGGCTTGTCGATGAACAGAAACCGAAATTTTTCATTTTTCGGTTCTTTTTAAATGTGAATCTTTAACTTTTAGGTAAATGTAACGTAATAAAACTAAATTTAGCGTTGAAACGTTCATGAAAAACAAAATTTTTCTTTAATAAATCCTCCAAAACAAATCCGCCAAGCTAAATCCTCACTGCCAACTTTAAAGTTCTATAAAAAGGCAGAAAGTCTTTTGATCAAATCAAAGAATCCACCGTAGAAAAAGATTTAAATTCTCTATCAAAATAAAGCGTGTGTTTTTATTAAAATAAAGCGTATGTTTCTATTAAAATAAAGCGTATGTTTCTATTAAAATAAAGCGTATGTTTCTATTAAAATAAAGCGTATGTTTCTATTAAAACAAAGCGTGTGTCTCTATTAAAATAAAGCGTATGTTTCTATTAAAACATAATTCCACATTTGAGTCTTGAGTTACACTTAAAATATCGAATCCGCGTATTGCGAATGTGTTAAACAAACGAAACTGAACAATCTAAAGAATTCCAAAGTTTCCCTGGATTCAAAGATTTAAAATGTAGTAAACTTGCCTTTAATTCTAGCTTTAAACAATTCTTTGAAGCTTTAAGCCTTCAAATAATTCATAGATTAATTGATAATAGTCATTTTACCCTATTCTTTAAATCGTGTCTTTCAGGTGCCTGTCTACGACTTTACCACGCATGCGAGAGACAAAATTGGAAAGGTAACTGGTTTGAAAACTAATCACTGGTAACACAAAGGTGATTCAGATCATGTACGGCGCGGATGTATTGATTTTTGAGGGAATTCTCGCTTTCCATCGACAAGATATCGTCGAAATGATGGATATGAAGGTAAACAATCTGTTAGCTCATGTCGTATTTTTGAGTCATTTTCCAGCCCTATAGCACTTCATTGAAAGCTTTTATGCAGAAAAGAAATTTTAAAAAGGGCTGCTACGCAGGAGTACGCGATGATATTCTTTACCCGGTCTTCTATTCGAAGAAATACGGTATCTTTATAGTCAGAATCGAGCCATTTAAAATCAAAAAATGATCGGCAAAATTGAGTGCCACTACGGGGGCTCGAACCCGGCTTGTGTGGGCTGTAAAACTATGCGCTCTCGACTGTGCTACGGCGACGGTAAAGCGGCGCCCGCTGTTAGGTGTATTTATCGCTGGTAGTCTAATAAATTCTTCTATTCGAAGAAATACGGTAATAAGACATATAAATAAGATCAATATGAACCAGAATGGATTTATCTTGAATTTGATTGAATTCTGTTGTAAGATACCGTATTTTCTCTAATAGTAGTGCACCAAGAGCGTTGCCTAAATTCCTCGAAATCTCGAAAAGCGCTTATCAGAACCTATCGATGTGAGATCGGAAAATGTAGCTGACGATGAGATCTAGTGGGGGATTTGAGTGTTGAGCTTCTGCAAACGCTTGGAAACTATAAAATAGGCATTAACTCGGCTCGGCCGGGGTGCACTACTATTAGAGAAAATACGTTATATAGTAGAAACCAATTTTTTAGGTTTTTGTGGACACAGATGCGGACACTCGACTTTCTCGCCGTCTCAAGCGCGACATCGAAGAAAGAGGCCGCGATGTTTCAGGTATAAAAATCATCTTTTAACAATAGCTTTGCTGAAGCTTAGCTTTCTGTAGCTGAAATAGCTACAGAAAGCTAAGCTTCAGCAAAGCTATGCTTTTATGCTTAATTCTAGGCGTTTTGGAGCAATATCTCAAATTTGTCAAGCCGGCGTTCGACTCGTTTATCGCGCCCGGGATGAAGGTGTGATTGCTTGAATGGGAGTTTGACAAGTCTCAGTCCAACATTTACAGTATTCAGTCATGTTAAAAGCTTTCGTTAAAAGATATCCAGTTCTATTTGTTGAATACTTTACTCTAGATTTACTGTAGTGTGACTTAGTAGTATAAACGACATTAGCTTTTTAGCTGCAATGTCTTTAAAATATCTGGATGATGGTAGCCTAAAATCTCATAAACTTAGATAAATCAGATAATTGTATCATTTCATTACAGGTAGCTGACATCATAGTGCCTCGTGGTGGAGATAATCATGTGGCGATTGATTTAATCGTTAAACAAGTGAAGACACAACTCTCAAAGAGAGGTAAAACCAATCGAATTTTAAGAGCTAGATATAGATCTATAACATTTAACAATTCCAGGCTACGATGCAGTCAATCATAACAGAAGTCAATGCCCGTTGAGTGATGGATCGCAGCCACTTCCTGGCTCGCTTCACGTTGTCAAACAGACTCCACAAGTTTGTTTTACTAACAGTTTGTAGTCTGTAGTTTGTAGGTTTATAGTATCGTCTAGTCTACAGTAGTCTGATATTTTAACAATGTACAATGAATTAACTTTATTCAGGTTCGCGGTCTGCACACCTTCATCAGAAACAAGGAAACTAAAAGGTAAAGAAAATATAGATAAGGGTTAAAAAGAGGGATTAAGAATTGAATCCTTGACCTTCTGCTTATCAAACAAATGCTCTACCATTCATTGAGCTAGCTGTCTTCTTTTCCCATAAAGATAAAGAAGAGAAATAAAGGAGGAAAGAGAACTAGAGTTTATTAGTAATTTATTAATCATGTCATTAGAATTAAAAATTATTATCTAAAATCGTTGACAAAATTCAAAATATACAATTTTTCTCAAGAATTACAAATTACAAAATTCAAACATTCAAAAGTTCTGAGCAATTAAATTTTAAACTTTTAAATAAAATAGGAATCTAGTTAACTAAATAGCTAATATTATTAAGATTATAAAATAATCTTTTTCTCTATCTTATCGATCTTTAGAGACGAGCTTGTCTTCTATTCGGATCGTCTCTTCCGAATTCTCATCGAAGATTCAATGAACTTTGTCCCATATGAAGATATTGAAGTAGAGTTGGGTCCAAAGCAAATGTAAGTGATATAAAGATTTAAAGATATAAAGATATAGAGATTTAAAGATATAATTTCTTATTCATATTACATAAAATTTTCATTTTAGGGTGAAAGGACGTCGAAAAAGCGTCGAGATTTGCGGAGTGGCGATCATGAGAGCCGGGGAAACGATGGAGAACAGTTTGAGAGCCGTTGTGAAGGTAGTTTTGAGTTTTAGGGTTTTAGATTTGTTTGAATTGATGATTTGACGATTGATTTGATATCTTTTGAGTTTTATAGCTTTAGATTTGTTTAAATTGATGATTTGACGATCGATTTGATCTCTTTTGAGTTTTACAGTTTTAGATTTGTTTGAATTGATGATTTAACGATCGATTTGATCGATTTGATCTCTTTTAAGCTTTCTGTAGTTATTTCAAAAGATTGTATCAATTTCAGGATTGTAAAATGGGCAAAATTCTCATCCAGACAAACGAGCAAACGATGGAACCCGAGTTGTACTATCTACGTCTCCCTAAAGATATCCATAAATATCATATTCTTCTCATGGACGCTATGGTGGCTACAGGTATTTATATATTGGGTTTTAATAAAGATCAGGTTTACCAACTTGAGAAACTGGAGAAATTTTAGCAATAATTTTCAGGAGCTGCAGCGGTGATGGCTGTAAGAATCTTGTTGGATCATGATGTCCCTGAAGAAAATATTATGTTGCTTTCATTGGTGATGAGCGAACCAGGGGCACACGCTTTAGCCTACGCGTTTCCAAAGGTGACGACAAGACAAATAAACAAATAAATTGGTTTTATCCAGCTCGCGTAAAAGTAGTCAGGACAAGCACCTGAAAAATTCTCTATTCTAGCAAATCTATTCTAGCATCTCTATTGTGGCATCTCTATTGTAGAAGTCAAAATTTGGTATTAATGCATTGATTCATTGCTTTAAAAGTACTGAAAGAAAACGCTTTCTTTACTACCCCATTCTATTTCGAATTCTATTGCATTCTATTGCCGAAAACGACTCTCGACTCGCATCGCATTATTCTCTCAATTTAGCTACTGTTTAAGTGACACAGTCGGCTAACAGAATGTAGAATTTGTATCAAAAATACAGCTAAATTTGAGGCAAAGATTGTTCCTAAGAATTTGAGCATAATGACGCACAAAACATTTTGCTCAGCTCGAACAAAACCGGCTCAGCTCGAACAAAACCGGCTTAGCTCGAACAAAACCGGCTCAGCGCGAACTCAACATAACGACCAGTTGAGAAATTAGCTAAAAGAAGCCCGTAGTAAAGCGAGCCCGTAGTAAAGCGAACCCGTAGTCAATGCGGGCCCGTATTGAAGCACTTGAAAAACTCTGTTGTCGAAGATTTTGCGAGCCCGTAGTAAAGCGAGCCCGTAGTAAAGCGAGCCCGTAGTAAAGCGAGCCCGTAGTAAAGCGAGCCCGTAGTAAAGCGAGCCCGTAGTAAAGCGAGCCCGTAGTAAAGCGAGCCCGTAGTAAAGCGAGCCCGTAGTAAAGCGAGCCCGTAGTAAAGCGAGCCCGTAGTAAAGCGAGCCCGTAGTAAAGCGAGCCCGTAGTAAAGCGAGCCCGTAGTAAAGCGAGCCCGTAGTAAAGCGAGCCCGTAGTAAAGCGAGCCCGTAGTAAAGCGAGCCCGTAGTAAAGCGAGCCCGTAGTAAAGCGAGCCCGTAGTAAAGCGAGCCCGTAGTAAAGCGAGCCCGTAGTAAAGCGAGCCCGTAGTAAAGCGAGCCCGTAGTAAAGCGAGCCCGTAGTAAAGCGAGCCCGTAATTGGAAACACCTATCTATCAGGGACATGTGTCAGACGGCGAGCGATTACGTGGCCGCACAAAGAACACCTCGCCAGTCATTTCCGTTCGGATTTTTCTTTTACATGGTAGAAGATATTCAGCTTTAAATTTGTACCCTAGGGTTTTCGGGATCGGGGAATCGATTGGAGCTATTTATTTTATTGAGTCTATCAATTGAGACACGAGTTTAATTGATGTAAAACCAAGAGACTAAGCTGAGGTACTCAAAGTTGAAACTGAGCTGCTGACTTCTGCTCTTTAGCTATTCATTTCATTAAATCTACCAAATATCGCAATCATTCTGTCTCTATTCCTATTCCTGGCTTTCCCACCGAAAAGTTAAAATGAAAAAGGCACAGGCAAGAGGGATTGAACTCTCGACTCTCGATTTTACGATTCACCTCATATAGCAGAGCAAAATTCAATCCAAAATCTTCGATCTAGACCAATTCGAACCAATTCGATAAAAAGTCAGACGAAAAATCAAGTCCAAGCCTAGTATCCTTCACTCAACTCAATTCCAGTACACCTTTACCTCTTGATCTCTTGATTCTCTTGATCATTGTACTTCCAAATCCAAAGCTCACCTCAAACCTCTATCTCTAATTTTCAGGTGCGTCTTCTCACCACCGCTGTCGATGCCGAGTTGGCTGAGGGTTTTTACGTGTTGCCCGGTATGGGAAATTTTGGCGATCGCTACTACGGGACGACAACTTGTGCCGATGATGATGTCATCGATGATTCTTTTGACGGTTAATTTCTTTCGTATCATTTCTTTCCATGACTTTCAAAATAAATCTCAAAAAATCCTTTCAAAAACATTCATTCAGTATTCCTAAACACTTCTTGTTGATTTCTGTCGTTGATTTTATTTTATTTTAACTTTTTATTGTCATTGTTGATTTGAGTTTTTTTTGATAAAGAGATTGAGTATATTGAAATATTCAAAGCATACTAGTCAAATAAAATACACTTTCACAACTACAGTACACTCTCAGCCTTTTACAAGTAGACTTTTACGGCTACAGTATTCTTATTGTGTTTAGTACAGTCTACCAGTACATTTACAGTGTTTAATACAGTATACTAATACATTTACAGTGTTTAATCCAGTCTACCAATACATTTACAGTGTTTAATCCAGTCTACCAATACATTTACAGTGTTTAATCCAGTCTACCAATACATTTACAGTGTTTAATACAGTATACTAATACATTTACAGTCCATAGGCTTCCTGTTATAATAGGTTGATGCATAAGTGTTTTTGTTCCTTTTCGTCTGCCGTTTCAAGCCAACAAATGCACGAATTAAACTACGGTTGATTTCATTAGAAAAAGCAATTATTTTTCTGCAAAATAACATTAAAACGGGTTTAAAAATATTTAATGCCTGGATTTTCTTGAGAGTATGAAGTCGGGTAGTCAAAAAGGGCTAACTCGATGATGCGGTTTAGACACCTTAGCTAAAGAAAACCTATCTTCGTGTCAATAGATAAAAGATAGAGAAAAAAAACGTTTGATATTTCGCCAAAATTTCAGAGAAATTCATTCAGCCAATTTTTCCGTAGAGTTTTTTATAGATTTTTACGAAAAAGGCGTTTTTCACTCTCGAATTTGCTTCAAAGTGAACCGAAATTCATTTAAAAAGATGCTAATTGAACAAAAAAACACTTTTTTTTATAGAGCAAACTATAGATTAATTCGTGAATTTGTTACTTTTTAACAGAAGTACGAAAAAAACGAAAACACTTATGCATCAACCTAATAGTACATTACGCTAAAGTACACTAAAGAATGAGACACCAGTAGTCCAATAGAAATCGTATTTTTACAGAACACTGTCAATTAAAGTACTCAATTACATTTACAGTACAACTACACTTTAAAGCTTTCACAAAACATACCGTATACCAGGGCAATAGGCTAGAGTTCTGTACCTTCTTACTTTACCATCCTAGAACAATTACAAGAACGATCACAACAACTACAACAGTTACAAGAACAATTACAAGAAATCAGGACATCATCCCCGTACACCAGTGCAGTTAAATGCACAGGAAACTTTCAAAAAATCAAAACTAAATTACAATACACTTGCAAATGTCTCGTTTCTAGCTTGGAATCTAAATTTTTATATGATTTTAAATGTTTTCAGCTCTCAAAGAGTTCTTCACATTTCCACAAAATATTCCGTTTCCCTGAGAGATTTTGATTGAAAATTGATATCACCCGCGAGACGCCCGGCAACCCGAAAATAAGAAAATTTTGGGAAAAACAAACTAGAGAAATTCTCATTCTCCAAATCCATTTTCATTTAACTTATTTTCTACTTTGAAAATTTGAATTTACAGAATGAAACTACTGGTCTTACTGCTAATGGTCAGTCTGCCATTTTCTGTAGACTTTGTCTAAATTGTTCTTTATCTAGAACCTTATACAGAACTTTATCTAGAACTTTATCTAGAACAGATTTATCTAGAACTTTCTTTAGCAAATATGGATATTTGTACCGGGAATCTGCACCCAAACTAGCTACGAGATCATCATCTGCAATTTCACCCAGACAACTACTACAACGACAACAAGCACAACAAAAACTACTACTAAGCCTACTACAACAACTACAAAACCGACTAGTAAGGCATAAGAATATGCAGTATTCTCTCTAATAGTAGTGCACCCGGCCGAGCCGAGTTGATGACTATTTTACGGTTTCCAAGCTTTTACAGAAGCTCAACACTCAAATCCCCCACTAGATCTCATCGTCAGCTACATTTTCCGACCGCACATCGATAGGTTCTGATAAGCGGTTCTCGAGATTTCGACCAATTTAGAGGACGCTCAGGGTGCACTACTATTAGAGAGAATACGGTATCTTGAAACCATTTTGAATACATGCCATTGACAAGACTCGTTACAATAAGCTAAGGAAAAACTCAGCTAAAAGTTCAGAAAAGAAACCTAGTGCTTATTAGAATTGGATTTCTATATCCAGAATCTGAAAACAAATAGCTGCTATATGCAACGAATCTGGCATAGGAAATTGGCAATGAAGCTACCAATTCTATAAAATGAACTAACTTTAAAAGCTGCTCTGAACTTTTGGGCTGAGGTCTGGGAGCCTGAATATAACTTGACCTCCTCAAAGTGAGATCTTGGTCTTTCCCCCCGTCATTGCTAGTCTTATCCCAACTAACTGGTAATTGATCTTTGCAAACGGTAAATAAAGTATAATATTTTAGCTAGGAAAACCACTACGACTACTACGAAGACTGCGGTGCCGACTACGACAACTGTAACGACGAAAACCAAGCCGACAACTACGGCAACTAAGGCGCCGACTACGGCTACGACTACAAAAACGAGTACGACGACAACAACAACAACAACAACAACAACAACAACAACGACAACAACAACGACAACAACAACGACAACAACAACAACAACAACGACAACAACAACAACAGCAACCGGCTCAACTTCGACTACTACCACGAGTACTACAACAACAACAGCAGCACCAACAACTACAACTACGCCTATGGCAACAAGTACTACGACTACCACAACACCGACTACAACAACAACGACAACAACAACAACGACTGCTCAACCCACTACAACAACCACAACCACAACCGCCTCAACTTCGACTACTACCACGAGTACTACAACAACAACAGCAACAACAACTACAACTACGCCTATGACAACAAGTACTACGACTACCACAACACCGACTACAACTGCATCAACGACTACAACTGCAACAACAACTACAACTGCATCAACGACTACAACTGCAACAACAACTACAACTGCATCAACGACTACAACTGCAACAACAACTACAACTGCATCAACGACTACTACTGCATCAACGGCAACAATAACCACAGGTTATAAATCTTCTTTTGAACAAGTTATGATGTTTTAGTACCTGAGGCTACTACAACAACCACTACTTCTTCAACGGTAGCAACGGTTGGTTTAGTGGATTTTTTGTTGAAAAGTAGAGTAGAACAATCACTAAATAGTGTATTGAATAATATTTAATCCATAAAAGGTATAAAGCAACTGAAGTGACAACTAGCTTTACCTGAAGAACATAGAACAGATATTTCCATATGGAAAGCGCGTCAAATAGTGTTAAAACCAAGTCCTAGATTTAGTCTGATACAATCTGATACAATTGTCTTATTAGCAAGATAGGACCAGATTTCGTTTTGACAATGAGATTTTAGGCCATAACCACACCAACAGCAACCACGTCAACCACTTTGTCGACAATTTCTAGTAGTAAGTTTGCTTTAGTGTTTTAGGTTTTAGTTTGAGTAGATTTGAAAGTCTTTGACGTAGCTACGTCAAACTACGCGTAGTTCAAGTTAGTTCTGTCTCTTTTAACTAATCAAATCTCTAATTCTAGCTAATTAAGCTAATTAAGCTCCCAATGTCACTTTGTGCGATCAATCATCGACAATTTGCTCCTCGACGACAACAGAACCTTCAACAACATCAACAACTCAAGTAACAACTAGCTCATCGAGTACATCGAGTTCAAAGAGTACAACTGTGACATCAACCTCAACGGATAGCTCATCTACGGTAGCGTTTTGTTATGGCGAGTCAAGGCCTGAGCTGGCACGCTAATTAGGGAAGTTTTTTTGAAACAAGCCAGATCTTAGCTGGTCTATTGGTCTATTGCTTTTGCTTTTGCTCCTAATACGGTAATCAATTTCTAGACCACTTCATCAACGAGTGCTTCCACGTCAAACTCAGAAACCTCACCCACAATCACTCCAACTACAACGAGTTCTACAGCAATAGTCACAACATCTACCAGCTCTTCTACAACGTCAACCACACTGAGCAGTACAACTTCTACTTCTACTACCACAACTTCATCGACGTCAAGTACAGCCATGTCAACGATAGCAAAAACAACAAGTTTAACCGCTTCAAGCAGTGGAAAGACGGTGACAGCATCGACTAGCCCCATGACTGTCACACAAAAAAGTGGTGGAGGAAACGGTGATGGCACTGGTAGTACTGAAGGTGCCACTAGCTCTGGCACTAGTCTCACTGGTAATGGCAATAGTACCCCCGATGGTTCTGGCGCTTCTCCTAGCACTCTCAACCCTTCAACCAATTCTACAAGTGGCAGCACTAATGGCCCATCTTCTGATGGCTCAACTAATCCAACTTCTTCTGCAACATCCCTAGGAAATGGACTGACAAGTAAATCAATTTTCTAAACTTTTTCAGACCTTGAATCATTAACAATCATTATCATTAACTCTCTAGGTTTGACAAGTGGCTCTTCTTTAACCCCAACCCCATCACCACCAACTGGCAGTTCGAGTTCAACATCAACATCAAGCGACTCAAGTTCAAGCCCAGCCACAACCGCTTCATCAGCTTCAACGGGATCAATTGTGGCCATTAGTTCTTCTCACTCTACCTCTAATGGAACTCCTTCTGGTGGATACTCAAATGAAACCATTGTCACCACAGTATCAACCGGTTCAGGTTCTAGTGATTACTCTACAGGGCTTTAAAAGGTTTGACAAGTGGCTTGACAAGTGGCGGAGGTGGCTCTTTACTCTACAGGGCTTTCTAGTGATTACTCTACAGGGCTTTAAAACAAAATAATCTTAGTCTTACAGTATCCTGGTATTGCTGCTTACAACCAATATCTAAAAACATGCCATCTTTTGTCACATTGTAGTATTGTAGGAGACTGAAAGGGTAAGACTGAAGAAATTCTGAAGAGTGTATGCATTTTAAAACTCGGCAAAGCTTTGTTTAATACGTAACGATCAATTTCAGTTCCAACGATCACTCCAACATCACCAAAAGTTAAATATTTCAATTTTTAGGCGGTAGAAGTACTTCAACAGTCCCGGAGATCACTTCAAGTTCCACTCAATGGGGAATATCCGTGAGCCCATCTGAAGGAGGTGGCTCCGTTTCTCCAAATCTAGCGACAAGCTCAAGGTGACTGAAATGATATGTCGCAAGTTTATGTGCTTAGATAACTATGGATCTCTAACTATTAGATAACTATAGATTTCTCCAGCTTATCTAACAACTTATCCAACACCATTTAGCCCTCTCTCATATTTGAATGGAACGAGCTCAATGTCAAAATCGTCGGGTATGACATTTATGAATAATAATGTGGATTGTTTGGATCTATAATTGAGAACTAAGATTAGGTTGATGAAAGAATAATGCGCGTTTTAATGTAGCTATCGCATTTTTTAATTAAAAGAGACTCAGAGATTAAAAGAGATGCTCTTTAGGAGCAACAACTACAATCTTATCGACTACTCGCAATTCGCAATCAACTAGGTAAAAGCTAAATGGAGATTCGTTTCTAAATACAGATCCAGTTTTTTTTCTTTTAGATCAACTACAATAGTGAACACAACGAGAAGACCAGTTTTGGTAAGTTATTTTAAAAGTTCTTCAAGTGCAAGTTCAAGTCCAAGTTCATGTTCAGGTTCAAGTCCAATTTTAGATCTGTTTCCCTTCTTTGGTGCTGAGCTTGGGTGAAAATGACACAATGATCATTCAACAACCATGGGATTTCACGATCACCTCTAACACCACATCAAACTCAACATGCTCTGTCACCTATCATCAATGGGAGACTGGTTTGTGATTGATCTTTGTCGTTTAAAATGTCGTCATTCTTTTAAGAACTAATTTCTGGGAACTCAACGTCTCACTCAATCTATTTCTTGCCCGATCAAGCTCTCGGATTCTACAATGTCTGCTTGACCGCTGGTTAATAAACTGAAGCTTCTTTAAACGCTGTTAACCGCTTTTGTTTTAGAGTTTGAGAAACAATTGAATCAAACAAAATGTGGATTCGTTCGAGTCATTGTTGAGAAAGGATTGATATCACAATCGGTTATACAAATGAGCAATGAGATTTTTGGGATTTCAAAGAATATTGCAGAGAACTTTACAGCTGATCCGAATATTGATAAAGAGGTAAAAGACATTTCTGAAGACATTTCTGAAGGCAGGGTCTGATTCAAATGAAATAGAAAGTGTTTTGTACTTAAAGATCAGCTTAGTCAAGGCTATGATCGTGTCAAAAGCTTAGCTCAAAAGCTTAGCTCAAAAGCTTAGCTCAAAAGCTGAGCTCAAGAGCTTAGCTTCTGGTCAAATAAATCCAGTTTTGATTGGGTTGATCTAAAGGTTGTCTTAAGGTCATTTTTCTGATCAAGTAAATCCAGACAAGGTCAAAAACATGTCAAAATCATGTCAAAAACATGACAAAACCCAGTTCGTGGCACTTGTTCCAAGCCTGACTCCAGCTCCAGACTTGACTCACAGAAGATCTAAACCAGACACACACTTGACTCCAATCTAGCTCAGTTTTCAATTCGAAATTTTCCAGAAAAGCGTCGCTTACACTTGGTACTGTTCCACGGAAAATGACAACAACTATCAACCGCTTTTAGACTCAAATTGCATGAATGGTTTGAATTGGAAAATTTCTGTTGCCATTTTCTGTTACCATTTTCTTTTAGGCTCTGCCGTTTACAGCCTTGTCAATGGCGTCCTCTCATTTCTGCCGATTGGGGAGTATTTTGGAGTTGGAACGTAAGGTTTTCACACATTTGCCACAGTGAGTCAAGTCTGTGAGTCAAGTTTGGAGCTGAAGTCAGGCTTGCAAGTCAGGCTCTTCGGCAAATACCATTTTGCTGTGCTTCTAAGCAGCCGAAACTCAGCACTCATATTTCTGTAGCCAAAAACTTTGGTATTTTGGATTACTGTAGCCAAAAACTAATACTAGATTCCGATTCTCCACCCTCGAAAACCCTTATAAACAAGTTTTCAGGCTTTTTTCCAGTAGAAACGATCATGGTACATTGGGATATCGTTTTGTTATATAAACCTAGAAAATGTTACAATAGAATTTATAATGAGAGACGATTGGAAGAGACGAAGCTCTGTTCATTGCTGGCTTAGAGAGAAAAGACTCAGAGATTAAAATACTTCATCTACTTCAACTTCTACGACGACAACAACTACAACAATGGAGACGAAAACCAGCTCCTCCTCAGCTTCATCTCATACACAATTAACAAGCTCATCAACATCAACCACAACACTGAAGACGACAACCAGCTCCTCCTCAGCTTCATCTCATACACAATTAACAAGTTCATCAACATCAACCACAACACTGAAGACGACAACCAGCTCCTCCTCAGCTTCATCTCATACACAATTAACAAGTTCATCAACATCAACCACAACACTGAAGACGACAACCAGCTCCTCCTCAGCTTCATCTCATACACAATTAACAAGTTCATCAACATCAACCACAACACTGAAGACGACAACCAGCTCCTCCTCAGCTTCATCTCATACACAATTAACAAGTTCATCAACATCAACCACAACACTGAAGACGACAACCAGCTCCTCCTCAGCTTCACCATTTAATACACAATCAACAAGTTCATCAACATCAACTACAACACTGAAGACGACAACCAGTTCCTCCTCAGCTTCATCTGATACACAGTCAACAAGTTCATCAACATCAACTACAACAACGATTGCAACAACCATGTTGTTATATAAGCCTAGAAAATGTTACAATAGAATGTATTGGACGATTGGAAGAGACGAAGCTCTGCTCATTGCCGGCTTAGAGAGAAAAGACTCAGAGATTAAAAGTGATACTCTTTAAGATTTGTGTTAAGATAAGATTTAGCCATTAGTTTAATTTACAGTAATCAGTTTAAGTCTTGTTTCAGATATCATCTCTTCCTCGTTGCCACCTCTAAATCAGTGGCCTCAATGCAACAAAACTTGACGATCATTCTCCACGTTTTCGGACCAACAACCTTTGGTAAATAGTTTTCAAAAAACTTTCACAGTACTCTAATACCATTTGTACTGAACTTTCTAAGATGAGAAGTGTAATTTGTACCATCTTGGATCTCGGACTTGAACGAAAATTGATTATTGATAATTGATAAGCTCAATAAAATGAATAGTGCCAATAAAATGAATGAAACGAATAGTGTCAATAAAATGAATGAAATGAATAGTGCCAATAAAATGAATGAAATGAATAGTGCCAATAAAATGAATGAAATGAATAGTGTCAATAAAATGAATGAAATGAATAGTGCTTTCCCGACCCCGAAAACCAAATTTACAGCTAAATATCTTCTTTTTAAACAATTTAAAAAGCAAAAAAAGAAATCTCATTTTCTAGGGATTTATGTCATCAACTTTTGCCTTAAATTTAGCTTTATTTTTGCTACAAATTCTAGATTCTATTTACCAATTGTGTCACTTAAACACTAGCTAAACTTTTTCTTTATTTGATTTTATTTGATTAAGCTCAGTGCTGATTGTTGAACCGGAATCCCGGAAAGCCTTGACCGAATCATCATTTAAATCATTCTAAAATAGTTTTTAAGACTTTAACAGTATTTTAGAAGCCACAACATTCTTGCCGACAACAGAGTTTGATGAGAATGGAATTCACGGAAATCGAACTCTTCCCACGACTACAGAACTGGAAACAACCGCTGAAATGACAACAAATAATGGAGTCACTGAAATGTCAACAATTGAAGGAACGCAACCTGTGACAAATCGGATAGTTGATGAAAGTACAAATGGGGAAACAACGACAGAAGGTAAGTAGACCACTTATCTGGCAATTTAGTTACAATATGCTTGCAGACTTACTAACAGGTACCTGGTTTCTAGCCTTGTTCTTCCTTACAGCCTTATTAACAGGTACCTAGTTTCTAGCCTTGTTCTTCCTTACCTAGGCCTGGGTAAAGCCTACAGTACTCAACCTCCAAAAAATTCTCTTTTTAAATCTTTTTCGCAATTTCTAAGTACTCTGATCACGAATCTGAAGTCCGTTTTGTAAAATAACTCAATAGAGTTCGGTTTTTAGCATTTTTTGAGTCACAAGTCACCTCTGGAGGTGGCTTGAAAAATGAGCTAGATCTAGGGAAATTTTGCTAGTTGATTAGCAAACAAAAAAAGTGTTAGATTTTGAAAGAGCGCTCGACTAGCAACTAATTGACTTGCTAGCTACGAACGAGGACTCGACTTGTATCTAGCAACTAGCGAAATTTTGCTAGATCTAATGATCTTGGACCTGGCCCCAAGGTTGGATCATTGACTGTACTGCTTACAGTACCCATTCTTACATTTACAATCTGTTTTCAGCTTCAACAACTCCTCAAGAAAACACTACACAACTTTCGACAACAAAGCAACCGAAAATCTTCAATTTGACAACTGAATTCGTTTCAACGATTGGTGGAGAGCTTGCAGAAACAACAACGACAACGACAACGACAACGACAACGACAACGACAACGACAACGACAACGACAACGACAACGACAACGACAACGACAACGACAACGACAACGACAACGACAACGACAACGACAACGACAACGACAACGACAACGACAACGACAACAACAACGACAACGACAACGACAACAACAACTACGACAATGACAACGACAACAACTACGACAACGACATCAACTACAGGAAGAAACACTGATCCAGCAGTTGGATCTGATACTTCATCTACTTCAACCTCTACGACGACAACAACTACAACAATGACGACCAGCTCCTCCTCAGCTTCATCATTTGATACACAGTCAACAAGTTCATCAACATCGACTACAACAACAACGACTGCAACAACCACTACTACGATGACAGACAAATCGTCAGTGACTGGGGTGACTGGAGTCCAAATGAGCACTACAACAACATCAACAACATCAACAACAGCTACAACAATCACAATGACTACGACGATCACAACGACCACAGCGGTTTGTAGCTTTAATTACAATACTAATTATAAGTTAGATAAGTTATGCATTCTTTCTAAACTTATCTTACTTTGGATTTAAAGCTCTCGTATTCCGGATATCGATTACGGTGACTTTAAACACTACTTCTTAGCAGCTACCGTACTCTAAATACTTTTTTTCCTTTATACTATTGGTTAAACCTTGATCTTTAATAATCTTAGCAAGGCTTGGGTTTACAAAAGCTTTTTACTTTTTACTCTTTACCAAAGAGAAACATAGTCTTTAAGACTCTTTCAACAACAATGACAATGCAAATTTTCAACTCCTTTAATTCCAAATGATGTTTGTTAATGATTATGATTTGATTATGATTTGATTATGATTTGACTTTTGATCTTTCTAGATCTAGATTTCTTTGACTTTGGATCTTTCTAGATCTAGATTCTTTGCCTTTTGATCTTTCTAGATCAAGATTCCTTTGACTTTTAATCTTTCTAGATCAAGATTCCTTTCACTTTTGATCTTTCTAGATCTAGATTTCTTTGACTTTTCATCTTTCTACACCTAGATTTCTAGATCTCACTCGACAATCAACAACTCTTCAATTCAATTGAGAACTCTGAAAAGATTTTGAATGATTGGAAAGCAAACGGGAGCAAATGGGGCAATAAAACTCTTCTAGCTGATGCTATTCAAAATATTACGGTAAATAATATTGTATTTACTCTATTTTGAATTTAAATAGAGTGAATACAATATTATTGTAGTTTCTGCTCAATTCTAGACCCCAAAACAATTGGATACGTTCATCACAAATTTACTCAGTGGAAAATCACCCTACAATATTAGGTAAAGCTTTTTATTGCTTCATTTTCTGTAATAAATTTAGCGCTGAGAACACGGCTGACGTCTTGAAACAAGTCAAGCAACAATTGACACAGGAAAACACGGAATTATCTGCAGTAAGTTTTAAATGTACTCTTTCTCTAATGTACTCTTTCTTTATTGTACTCTTTCTTTAATGTACTCTCTCTTTAATGTACTCTCTCTTTATTGTACTCTTCCTTTAATGTACTCTTCCTTTAACGTACTCTTTCTTTAATGTACTCTTTCTTTAATGTACTCTTTCTTTAATGTACTCTCTCTTTAATGTACTCTCTCTTTATTGTACTCTTCCTTTAATGTACTCTTCCTTTAACGTACTCTTTCTTTAATGTACTCTTTCTTTAATGTACTCTTTCTTTAATGTACTCTTTCTTTATTGTACTCTTCCTTTAATGTACTCTTTCTTGTGAGCACAATGGGCACAAAGGAAAAAAGAGATAGGCTTCTGAATTTAGCTTGTGAATCAAATGTTAGATCAACTCGTCAACGTGACCATTCAGACACCGGAAGAACTGCAGAAAGTCGATTGACTCATTGATATCTTCAAATCTTCAATTCAGGTCTTGCAATCACTTGGAAACATTTTGAAGAACGGCTTTATTACAACTTTATCTGGATCGTCTGGCGTTATTTTTCTTTTTTAGCAAAAGAAATCTAAAATCTAGTCTCTTGAAGCTTTTCAAGTGTTCCATGGAACGATTCAATCTGAAGGATATTCATTGGTTTCGGCAAAGAGTACGGTAAATGTTATAATCAATCGGGGTACTGTAGGGAATACTGTAGTTCTTTCAAGGATACTGTAGTTCTTTCAGGACTACTGTAGCTCTTCCAGGAGTACTGTAGCTCTTTCAGGAGTACTGTAGTTCTTTCAGGAATACTGTAGCTCTTTCAGGACTACTATAGCTCTTTCAGCAGTACCGTAGCTCTTCAGGGGTACTGTAGCTCTTTCAAGAGTACTGTAGTTCTTTCAGGACTACTGTAGCTCTTTCAGGACTACTGTAGCCAACGCACCGATCCATTGTGGTCAGTTTAGATGGATTTGAGATTCCTTCAGGGCACTGTAGCCGCTGTAAGTGAAATTCTAGGAGCTGTAGGGCTACGTTAGCTTCCTACGGTAGCTACTGTTGGGATACTGTAGCCAAATGTGCTACTGTAAGACCCGTAGCATAAACATATTCCCATTTCAGCTCAGCATTCAAGGCCAAAACGCCTACCTCGCTGGGGACATCCGCCCGGGAATCCTCCAGGATCGACAAAATCCCGAATCCGTTGTGGTTGGTATATTCAAAAATGAAAGAACATTTTCATGCATTCAGGTGAAAAACGATATCACGAAGCTTTCGACTACCGTCAGCTTCAACGCTGGGACACAAGTTGGTGTCAGCCCTGGCCCATTTACGAACACCTCAATTTTCGAACCTCTCTCCTTCTTCTCACTTTTTGGAGATACAATTGTAAGTTGTATTGTAGTGAGATGCTTTGAATGCTTGAATCCTAACTCCAGGATAAGAATCCTAACAATTGAAGGTAGTAGCAATTGAAGGTAGTGTAGCCTAAGCTTGAAGCTTGAAGCTTGAAGCTTAGGCTACACTGCTGTTGTAGGAAATGGGTACTGTAGTTGGAGGCTTCTATAGTTGTAGGGATAATGTAGTTGAAAAGGTGCCACAGCTTTGGCTGGGTACTGTAGGACAGGTACTTGAGCTTCTTGAATTCATTCTATTAGGGTGGTGCAAAAGAAACTGCCGATTTGACGATAAATTCAAAAAAACATAACATCAAAGCGAGAAATCTTTATTCATCGAAATATTCAAAACAAGCATCGATGACTTTCCTCCATCGAACGCGAAGAGACCGAATGCCATATTCGAAGAACTGGGACTCCTGGGACTCAAAATAGTTGAGTACCCAGTTACGGACCTCATCATCATTCTTGAACTGTTTCTCCTTCAGAAAGTGCTGCATCGAGCCAAATAGGTGATAATCACTTGAAGCCATATCAGGAGAATATGGCGGGTGAGGCAGGACTTCCCATCCAAATTCTTCGATTTTCTGCTGTGTGATTTTCGCAACATGCGGCTTAGCATTGTCATGCAAGAGCTTCACCGAAGTCATGTCCGCCATGTCATGTCATGTCATGTCGCACCCTGGCGTTCCATTGCTTTGTACACCCGGTCCAGCTGATGAGCATACAAGTCCGCAGTGACCGTTTTTCCATGTTCCAGTAACACAAAGTACACCAAACCCTTGCTATTCTACCATACAGACAATAAGATCTTCTTCCCGTGGATTTCGGGCCTTGGGGTTGGAATAGCACGTTCGCCGGCGCTCAGCCACTGTCGTTCTCGCGTAAAGTTGTCGTATACAATTCATTTCTCATCCGATGTCACGATAGAACCAAGAAATCCACTATTCTTTGCACGATTCAGGAGAATGCCAGCGATGGAAATGCGAGATGCGAGGTTAGCATCACTGAGTTGATGAGGGACCCATCTTCCACAATGACTTTTCTTTCCAATAGCGTGAAGATGGCGTTCGATGGTGACATGCTCACAATGGAATATTTTCGCAAGATCTCGAGCAGATTGGCATGGATCGGCCTGAATAACGTCCTGGCTTCGTTCACGACTTTTGGCCTCGAACCGTGCTCGTAATCTTCCAAAGTCTCGTCTCCCTCTCGGAATCGTTGAAACCAAGTCTGACACTGCCTGAGAGACAAACTGCCATCTCCGAAAGCAGTACAGAGAGAACGATGTGATTCGGTAGCAGACTTTCCAATTTTGAAGTTAAACAGTAATGCAGACAGCAGCAGACGGCAGCAGACAGCAGCAGACGGCAGCAGACAGCAGCAGACGGCAGCAGACAGCAGCAGACGGCAGCAGACAGCAGCAGACGGCAGCAGACAGCAGCAGACGGCAGCAGACAGCAGCAGACGGCAGCAGACAGCAGCAGACGGCAGCAGACGGTAGCAGACGGCAGCAGACGGTAGCAGACGGCAGCAGACGGTAGCAGACGGTAGCAGAGGGTAGCAGACTTTCCAATTTTGAAGTTAAACAGTAATGCTGCTCGTAGCACAAACTTTTGCTCGACCATGATCTAAATAAAAAATATAAGCATTTTAAAATAAAATAAACAACAACCAAAAAATTCAAATGTCGAAATAAATAGCAAACAAATACGCGAACAAAACATAAAAAAAAATAATGCCGTTAGCATCGCTCGTTTCTGATAAATGAGAGCTGATACCCATCGGCAGTTTCTTTTGCACCACCCTAATATAATCCAGATGACTGCCTCCGACGGTTCATCCCTATCCTCAACACATGTTCTTCTCTGGAATGCGACTGTGCCGCTCTACTCGGACGAAGAAAATGTCTCACAAATGTTCACCTCAATGACAGCTTGGATGGAGATTCAATCCGGCAGTGTCACCATAGAGGTAAAGATTGCTTTTCTGTCAAACTGACTGTAAACTTGTCTCTAATTTTTCAGACTGATTCAAAGACCAAAGAAAATCTGGTAGCTGGTCAATTGTTGAAAACGGTAACGACGAGTGTCACCGTTTTATTTCAAGGAAATCAAATCACTATCACTTTCACGTATCTTCTAAATTGTTATCTTTTAAATTGTTTCAAAAGATTTAGTGGTGGAGAAATGCAAGTGTTGTCATTGACGAACACAAGTGCCGCCATCGCCGTGCAAAGCGCTCAGGTTCTTTTTGTTGATCTAATTGTTGTAAGGATTGTTGTAAGGATGTAAGGATGTAAGGAACATCTACAAGGATCTCTTCAGTACTGTAACTGTTGCAGGGTACTGTAGCCGATACAGTATGGTATTCAATCTTTTCAGCTCAAAAACCCGGACTCATTCGACCCGCTTCTCATCTCGATTCTTGTGGATCCACTGCGATTCGAAGGTGGACAAGGCTTGCGACATTAGCAGATCCTTTTAGATGCGATCATTAGCATCTCCTGCTCCTATCAGCTAACTTTGTGAACTCTTTTAGGTCTATCAGCTAACTTTGTGAACTCTGTGCCCACATCTGGTCCCTACGCAATGCAAATGAAACCCAGTGACTCCGGGAAAATGCAAATGGTTACAGCGTTTTCTGGTGAATAAATTACTAGGCTTCTAAGCAAATAGCCAATTTGCTTTTTGATTTCAGGCTACACGGCTCCTTCAGTCTCACCCGGTTATGTGGGTGTCAAAAATGGAACTTTTATGCCGAATACGAGATTCACTAGCGCCACTGATCTCCAGAATCAATTCATTCAAGGAACAGCACTCACTGGAACGGCAATGGTGATGATTAGACTGGGTTTTGATTGGTAAAGCGATCGTAAAGCTGGTAAAGCGACCGTAAAGCTATCGTAATCCGGTAACCAGTATCCGGATTACAGTAGCTTTACCCAAGCCTACTTTTTAGACTCATCCCGGTTAGAGTATAGAGCTTTTAAAGTAGATTTTAGAGTAAAAAAAGACATCGTCTGTCTTTTAAAAAGGCATCGGGTACGGTAACGCTTGCACACTTTTTAGAAAACGAACTACTTACCATAAATATGACTGCCATTTCCTAGATCCTATTGGTTGGTGGTCAAGTGAAGAGCTGGGACTCGGTACAACTGATCTACGATGGGAAATCGCTTCTCTTTCTATCGGTGAACAAGAACGATTCAATTGTACTTGAACAAGCCACTTTTCAAGTAAGTTTCATTGCAAATTTCAACACTTTTCCATCTCTTATGGATACGTGTTTCTTATGGACACCATTTCTTTGTCTTTGACTTTCTTTTTAGTACTTTCCCACCTACATCTCGATCTCAAGCGGTCAAATTGCGCAAAGAGCCGACAAGCACATCCATACAACTCTTGAGGTGATTTAGAATTAAGCTCAGCCTGTCATTGTTGAAACTCTTACAATCAAGCTGTCCAAAAAGTCTAATATTCAAAAGAAATCTCAGGTTGGAGTCGGGAAACGAATCTTCATCGACGATGGACTGATCATTCGAAATGCCACCGATGGATACGCCATTTTGTATGGGAAATTCACCACCCAAGGAGATGTCAGTCTTGGGGATGTTTGTAAGTGTTTAGAAATGTTTAAAAGTGTTTAGAAATGTTTAGAAATGTTTAGAAAGTTCAGTTCTACTTTATTCAGAAATTATTTCGCTCAGAAAACATTTCCCTTTAAAACTAGCCCTTTTACGGTCAAGATTGGTCCCAAGGAAAAGGTAAAGTATTAGCTGAAGCAGTGTCCAAAAGTAAAAGTATCCAAAATTAAAAGTATCCAAAAGTAAAAGTGTCCAAAAGTAAAAGTATCTAAAAGTAAAAGTACCCAAAAGTATCTACAGTATTCTACGCTGTCTAGTGCTTAAAATAGCTGCAAATCTACTGAAATCTTTGCTATTTTAAGCTACTTTGCTACTTTGCTACTTTGCTACTTTGCTTTTTAGCTATTTTAAGCAATTCCCACTTTAGCACTCACTCAAGCAACGATTCTCGATCAATCGGCACAGAAAAAGGTAATGGAAGTGCTGCAGAATGCTGAGGATTTTATTCGAAACAATGGCAGCGGTTTAACACCCGATCAACAGAATCAGGTTTGTAAGGAATTGATTTTATTCGCAATATAGCTTATAGCTTACTCTACTTTATTTAGTTCAAATTCAGCAATTCACAAAAGTTCAATTCTACTTTATTCAGAAATTATTTCATTTAGAAAAATTCAGAAAACATTTCCCTTTAAAAATAGCCATTTTACGGTCAAGATTGGTTATGAGATCACCATTTTAAAGCATTTTAAAACCTGTACAAATGATTCTTGGGGAGAGAACTTTTCAAGAACTTTTCAACTACAGAACTATAGTCTATCTGACAAGAAATCTGGATCTTTAGATTGCTCATTTTAAAGCATTTTAAAACCCGTACAAATGATTCTTGGAGACAGAACTTTTCAAGCAAGCCTTCCAAGCAAGCCTTCCAAGCAAGCCTTCCAAGCAAGCCTTCCAAGCAAGCCTTCCAAGCACTTTTCAACCACAGAACTATAGTCTACTATAGTCTATCCACAGAACTATAGTCTATCTGACAAGAAATCCAGATCTTTAGATTGCTCAACAATCACTTTCAATGGTCACCGATCTCTTCAAAACGATCGATGCCGCACTCGCCAATCCCTCAGCTCAAGATCTTCAACAATCTCTCGCCTATGAGAAACTAAACTACAACGATATTTTTGATGTTTTACCAAAAGATGCTAGTAAGTTAGAAAGCTCATAAAGTTATAGAAATTTAGGCGAAATCCGCTACGTTGACGAGTACACCGAAGAGCAGTGGGCTTATGAGGCGACCAAGCTCATTCAACAGCAATTGGTTTAAGAAAAAGTTGCTAACATATCAGATCTGATTCATTTTAGGCTCAAGAAATGGCGGCTCGAGTGAAATCCCTTCTCTCCGCTGTCGAGGATATGTTAGTGGGAACAGAGATCAAAAGTTTGTGCCAAAAGATCAGAGTCGAAAATTTGATCTCAACAAGTTCAAGTCCAATATGTTCCTTCCAAGAATAAGGTTCCAATATGTTCCTTCCAAGAATAAAGTTCCAATATGTTCCTTCCAAGAATAAAGTTCCAATAAGGTTCCAATAAGGTTCCAATATGGTTCCAATATGTTCCTTCCAAGAATAAGGTTCCAATATGGTTCCAATCTGGTTCCAATATGTTCCTTCCAAGAATAAGGTTCCAATCTGGTTCCAATCTGGTTCCAATCTGGTTCCAATATGTTCCTTCCAAGAATAAAGTTTCAATAAGGTTCCAATATGGTTCCAATCTGGTTCCAATATGTTCCTTCCAAGAATAAGGTTCCAATCTGGTTCCAATACGGTTCCAATACGGTTCCAATATCAATTCTCAACATCTCAACAAGTGTGCATTCCAGATAAGCTTCGATTAAATTATTTTTTAAGATTAGTTGCTTTAAAAAGAAGTTAAACTCTTGACAAAGTTCTGAAGTCATAAATCAAGATATACGCGTTTAGCCCATTCGAAACCGTAGCGTTTTTTCTTTTTTTTCGTCTGCGGACGTCTGCGGACGTTTTTGACATTTTTGACACGTACGTTGTACTGTATCGTACGTACGTTGTACTGTACCGTACGCAAGACCACATCATCGTAAACTAGACAAGAAGATAGAGAAATCTATCTACCAAAAGCTTTTACCCCAAATTTACTGCTTATTGGTCCAGAGTTGGTCAAAATTCGAGATTTCTAGCTTTGTTTGGTGCTGGTTAGAAGCCAGCTAGTTGATTTTAAGAAGATAAAGCAATCTACGTAGCAGATAAAGCAATTAACAATGTATCTACCGAGAAAACCACTTCTGACTTGTCAACTGATTTCTGGCTTACTATTTTATTAATAGTTATTAGATTTATTTGTTAAACGAAGCCTATAAGTATTTAGTAGCCATGTATATGTCGTAGCCGATTATGAATTTCAGCCGATTGATTGAATGATTCATAATCGGCGACGACATATAAATGTTATTTTCTATTTAGATTTCCTTTCGATTTAGTTCGATTTAGACTTAGTTTTTGCTTTAGTTTTTGCGTTTTTCGAGAAGTTTCTCGACTATTTTTTCATAAGTTTTGAATGGGAAACGAGTTTATTTTTCGGAAAAAATGAACTGAATGAATGAAAAGAAAGCTGAAGAAAACAAGAAAATTGAGTAAAAATCGACTTAAATTGGGTTGCAATGGGTGGAATTGAGCAAAAATTGATTTAAATTAGGTTGCAATGGGTGGAATTGAGTAAAAATCTACCTAAATTAGGTGGCAATGAATGGAATTGAGCAAAAATCGACTTAAACTAGGCTACAATGGATGGAATTGAGTAAAAATCGACTTAAATTGGGTTGCAATGAATGGAATTGAACAAAAATCGACTTAAACTAGGCTGCAATGGGTGGAATTGAGCAAAAATTGATTTAAATTAGGTTGCAATGGGTGGAATCGAGTAAAAATCTACCTAAATTAGGTGGCAATGAATGGATTTGAGCAAAAATCGACTTAAACTAGGCTGCAATGGGTGGAATTGAGCAAAAATTGATTTAAATTAGGCTGCAATAGGCTGCAAAAAGGAAAATTAATAAAAACAAGTTTAAAAAATCAACAAAATCATGATTTGTTTTTACAACATCTGGTTTGATGATGTCAGAAGTGATATCAGTTGCAAAGGAAACCGCAAATCGATTTGTCGAAATTGGACGTTTGATTTAGATTGAGTCTAAATCCCACGAAAATCTAAATCACAAAATGTATTACCATTTCAGATGGCAATCTTCCAACTTGCATCGTGCAAACTGGTGATGCAAACACGCTTAGTGTAAGCCGAGTTTTTGGTTAGAGCACACTGATCTCCTTTACAGTTCCTTTATAGTCCCTTTATAGTTCCTTTATAGTCCCTTTATAGTCCCTTTAAAGTTCCTTTAAAGTTCCTTTATAGTTCCTTTATAGTTCCTTTATAATTCCTTTATAGTTCCTTTATAATTCCTTTACAGTTCCTATTTGGTTCCTATTTCTAGACTTGTATTGGAAATGCGAGCGACGTTCTCGCGATGAGCACGTCATGCAACGATTGGGTGGTAAGAGATATTTTTGAATAGGTTTTTGCTCATTTCCATCCTTAGATAAGCCTACCGTCAAAGCCGATTTCGTTAAACGATACACTCTTCGATAATTCCCTCATCCGCGTCTCAATGATTTGCTATATTGTATGTAAATTTGAAAAGCTTCCACTAAAATGCTCAATAGTTTAGTGAGATTGAGCTCTGATTCTCTAATACCAGGATAAACTTGAGCATTCTGATTTCCAGATCAATCCATACATGTACTCGGACAACTCCCAGTATCTCATCACTTCTGGTGCCCTTGACATAAGTCTGAAAGAGATGGAGAGCGGCTTTGTGATTCCGTGAGTCTTGTTAATCCATTAGTGTATTGATAGTCTTCAAAAATCTTCAAAAATCTCCAATAGAGTCACAAATGCAACAGAAGACTCGACAATCATCGGCCCATCAAACGCCTCTTTGTCGACTCCGATCGAAATGTTCACAGCCACTTTTCAGTCTTATCAGGTACTCTGAAAACTCTTATACATTCAAAAGTACATTCAAAATATGTACATTCGAAATACTTTCAAAATTTCTGTCGATCTCCTTTCAGATCCTTGACATTCATGCTTTCTACACCGTTCAATGGAACACCTCAATTGTAGTCGAGCTGCAGATCAATACGATTTCTGTGAGTTGATGAGAATTGTCTTTTGAAATTCAGCGAGAATGAAATTTAGCGCGATTTCAACAACGACATCTGGGTTTTTGTCTCCTATCAAAGCTTGCCCGGTCCACGAGATGAAGATCACGATTTTCGTTTCCAAGTCAATACGTACAGAAGTGAGAGAAGTTTACTTGAATAGTTTACTTGAATAGTTGACATAAACAGTTTACTTGAATAGTTTACTTGAATAGTTTACTTGAATAGTTGACTTGAATAGTTGACTTGAATAGTTGACTTAAACAGTTTACTTGAATTGCTTATGTTCCTATAAACCTATAAACAATGACTATCAGGCAAAAATGTTTTCTTTGTCTCTGCCCCAATGCTCCTCAACATGACCGGTCTTTACTATATTGGGGTCGGAGTTTTGTCGACCGGACTTGCCGATGGAGTCAATGTGGTACAGTACGAGAAACCGGGCAGCTATGAGGGAACAGGTGATTCAAAACAAGAAAAAAGACAAGCAGATCTTGAGTGAACTTGATAGTTAATAGTTGTTAAAAGATGAATACAAGATATTAATTTGAATGATCAGTAAACCTAATCCAAACAAAGTCTTAGGAAATTGGTCTTTCGAACAAGGCCTTTATTTTGATTACTCGATTCGTGTACTCACCAAAGGATGTTACTATTTCTTGGAGGAAGAGAATCGATATGACAATCAAGGAGTCACGGTTTGGTCTGCTTAAAACCAATCTATAGTGAAATTTGGTACGACAGGCTACTGTAACAAGACTTTATCTATGCATCTATGCAATCTATGCAATCTTTGCAATCTATGCAGACTATGCATCTATGCATCTATGCAATCTTTGCAATCGATGCAATCTATGCAATCTATGCATCTATGCATCTATGCAATCTTTGCAATCGATGCAATCTTTGCAAGCTATGCATCTACGCATCTATGCAATCTATGCATTTATGCAATCTTTGCAATCTTTGCAATCTATGTGTCGCAGCCGCTCGTGATTTTCAGCCGCTAGTGATTGAATCACTAGCGGCTAGCCGATGGTTTCAATCACTAGCGGCTGAAAAGCACGAGCGGCTGCGACATATGCATCTATGCATCTATGCAATCTATGCATCTATGCAACCTGTACAATCAATCCCCTTTCAGCCTCGCACTCCAGTGGTAATCGGCGACTCACAAGTCGGCTGTGCCACTCGTCACTTCACTGTCTTCGCAAATGGTGTCTATGCCCCGGATGTTCCTTCTGATTTCATCTACAACTATATCGAGAAAGAATATCCGGTAATTGTTAACTGGAGTAATAAAACTATTCAAGTAAACAAATTTTAGCTCTGTGCTCATGTTCTATTGTCCATCATTTTTCTCGTCATTCACACGATTTGCGTTCTCTTCGTGGCTATGAGGAACAAGCTAAACTATTGTTTAAACCAGGTGACAAAGATCAGACAAAACGTGCAACTATTGCATTGAAAAGACAATTATCAGTGCAAACTCTTTAGCCATACCTCTACTTCATGGCCGACAATCATAGAAATGACACCTACACTTATGTGAGTTTGCTTACAATCCTTGCTACAATATGCCTTACTACAACATGCTAGAACTACAGTATCCTAGAGCTATTAGGATACTATAGGGTCAATAGGGTAGTGTCAATAGGTCTCTAGAAGCCAAAGAACAATACAAATGTTTAGGTGATTTGCGTGGAAACTGGATATCGAATGTTTGCCCAAACGGATTCCGGCGTTTGTCAATATGCAATGCAAATTTTAAAGATTCAATTTCAGATCTTTTTCAACATTGAGGGCACAAACGGGAATCAAATTCGGAGAAGACTCACCTCTAATCGAATCGATCCAAAAACTCTATTCCGATGGGGGGAGACTGATCGTTTTGTGATGACCACTCCAGCGTAGATAATTCTGATAAATTTGATAAAGATTTGATAAAGATAATGATAATTCTAATTCTATTATATATTTATCCTTTCAATTTTCAGTGATCTTGGCGATTTGACGTCGATTCGAATCTGGATCGATCACGAGGGAATCTCTCATCGCGAATCGTGGTACTGCTCAAGGATTATCATTAAGGTAAATCAAAACTCTCTTCTAAGTCTTCTAAAGTTTGTCTCTAACTAGGGAAAGGCACTGAGTGAACACTGAGTATGTTCGTTGGCTTCTAGAAACCAATTGACAGTACCCTATTGACCCTATTGTATCCTAATAGCTCTGGGATACTGTAGTTCGGTATAGCTCTGGGATACTGTATTGCCATTGTAAGGATTGCAAGCAAACTCACATAAGTGTAGGTGTTATCTCGATACGTAAGGAAATAGTTTTTTAAAAAAAGCAAAAAAAAAAGTTTGACGAGACTGTGACTCGAACTTGAGCGCAGAAAATGTAAAAGGCTCGGCAGTCCAGCAGACTACCCCCACCAGATCACCGAAGCAGGCAAGCGTTTGACGGCCTCATAAGGAGTCCAAAATTTAGATATATCGCGTTCTGCAAAAACTAAAAACGGATTCAAGCTCCCCATGGCCGACTCTATAAGATGAACATGGTCATGAGGCAAAACGCCAGCTTCACTCAATGCCTTTCCCTTCAGCCTTTCCCTTGAAAGATCCAGTATCAAGTTTTACCAGTCGTATTTCAGAATGTGCAAACGGAGAAACAATATCACTTCCTCGTGGACAACTGGTTCGGACAACAGAACGGGGATGGAAAGGTTAGAATTGGTGGAACTGGCTGTTTGATTGGGAACATTGTAGCCGTGGGAAACATTGTAGCTCATTGGAGATTGTATGATGCTTGGGGCTTACGATAGCTTATTGGGTTGGGCTTACGATAGTTTATTGAATTGGGCTTATGATAGTTTATTGGATTTGGCTTACTTGAGATCTACAGCCAAAAAGGCTAATTGTTTAAATTTTCTTGATTTGAACCTTCAGAACAGTTTCCATATGTAAATTTGTAAAATAATTCGAAAAACAAAGCAACCTTTTAGACAGAAAGAGTCATCGGCGTTACGCCGAACGAAAAACGGCGACGCTTCGACGAGTCGCTTTGGATGAGCAACTATGCACAACATTTGACCTACTTTGCCCAGTACAAAGGTGGATTTTCGGATTGATATTAGAATCCTACAGTAAGGGATAAGGCTCTACCATGGCGGCAATGGATAAGTCTCGGTGTAGGTCATAGATAGAGCGTTCGCCCGGCTCATTGGTAGAGCGAGCGAGAGGTCGAGGATTTGAATCCCGGCCTTGACTATGTTTTGTTTCCCAGTCCAAAGCCATAAAAGGACTGACGTACAGTAACTCTACAGTAACCCTACAGTAACTCTACAGTAAATAGCTACTGTAACAAGAAAGCCACGTTCAAAATCGGTATTCCTTTCAGGCGGAACGCTGAGCCGACTCCGTTGCTCAACCTCGACGAATATCTTGCTCGTTTTCATGACCGTTACAAGTAATTTACATTATAACATGTAAAAAGACTTGTAATTAAACGAATTTTCACCTTATAAGCTGTCAATTTTAGTGGCAATTTGCTGCTGTGTCGTCTCGGCTTCGCGTGAGAACTATGATGATCAAAATCTCGGCCTACAACCGAACTTCTTCGGCTATTACTTTAACTACAAAGATGTGAGTTTAAAAATTCTATACAATCATTATAATGACATTCAGATTATAATGACAAAAGTTTAGAACAAAGCTAGCCTTTCAAAATCTCATAATTCCCAAGTTTTACCCAAGTCAAAGCTTTTAGCTGATCTGTGGAGCGGTAGTGTCATTGCTAATGCTCTTGCCGACCACAGTGATGCCAATGATCTATCGGTGAGTGAAAGAATCATTCTAACTCTTTAAAGCTTATGATTTCATTAGCTTAAGTTCACCTGAAGTTCACTCATTCAAAAAAATTCCCCTTTTAAACCCACCTTCAGAGCTGCGCCCTCAAACTTGGAATGGTGGCAATTGAAGCAAAGATTGGTGACAAATTCGGATCTTGAAAGGCCAAAGCACAAGCTTCCAGTGTTTACTAAAGTATGAAAGCTTTCTTTGGTTCCAATTTTATTCTAAAAACTTTCAGCAAATCCTTAATGTGATCCTGATGTCTCTTCTCACTTCAATGATTGTCTACGCGCTTCTCGTTGGTTCATTTGCACTTTAGTATTGAAAACCAAGCTCTCTAACTTTCATTGAACGATAAACGACTAGAATAGAGGTTTGGGTACGTCGAAGAATGAACGTTTGTCTGAGCACAAAGTACAAGCACTTGTTATAGTTAGAGTTATCCAAGTTAGAGTTAGAGTGAACTCTACTGAAAATTACTGATCCAAATTTGAACTTCAGAACATTGAGTACCTACCGTAAATACTGTAATAGTACCCTACCCCCATAATGACGGCGCGGAGTGTTGCGTAGTCTAGCTTTGAACGAGTTTTTCTAGACATTGGTTTATGCTACAATGCGCGCTTTGGTATCAAAAGATAGCTGAAATTCAGAGCTATTTTTTGATATGCAAATAATCCTTGATAATATAAGCTATCAATAGCTATAGTTTTATAACTTTAGCTTTATAGCTTGAGCTTTACCTCATATCTTTCTATTTACAGTTACTAGTTACAGCTTTTCGTCACTTACCATAAATGCTGTAATAGTATCCCATCCCCCGTCGTACAGTCGCGTAGTCGCAAAAGTTCTTTAGTATTTTGTTAATCAAAGGTTTTTTTCAAAGCTTTTGTTTCAAAGCACCCGTACTTTCAAAAAATGCGTCTTTGGTATCAAAAAATAGCTGAAATTCAGGGCTATTTTTTGATATTTAAACGAGCATTGTAGCATAAACCAGTGTCGAGAAAAACTCCTTCAAAGCTAGACTACACAACGCTCCGCACCGTCATTATGGGGGTGGGGTACTATTACAGTTTTTACGGTATGTAAAATCTCTCATATATTTAAATGTAATATCTATAAAGTATAAGCAAGAAAATATCAATTCTAGATCTCATTCCACTTCGATGTTGAGCAACAACTGTGCTACGCGAAGCGCTTCTTCCTCACCTTTCTGCTTTGGGTTTTCTTCACGGAACCATTAAAGGTTTTAGATCTTTAAAAAATATTATCTAATTCTTGCACAAATTAGGCTCTTTTCTGCTCGATTTTTTATGTTTTCTGTAAACCCGATAGTGGAATCATCACCAATTATGAGAAGACTCTACTCTTGGGAAAAAGAGAATCGATGAAGGGAACGAGTGAGTGGAGAATTCGTTGTGTAAAAGCTTTTGAAGTCTTTAATAAAAATGAAATAGACTATCTCAAGAAGAAGGTTTTTTTCAGGGTTAATTTTTGGACCGCAAAACTTTCCACCGATACTTACAGCACTTTTTTTTTACTTGCATTCCCTGTTTTTCAATACCCTAATTAACTGGGTTTAAGCCAGAGGTTTTCTATTTAAACAAATGATAGAAAATTTGATATATTTACATCAAATATGCCGTATTTACTCTAGTAGACGAATGTCCGTTCACAGAAAAGAATTCAAGTCTCTTTCAAGTCCAAACTAGACACGGGAAAATTCCAACCCGAATCGAATTCCATCTTCGTTTTCTCAACCGTCTCTTCGCCAATTGCTCTGAAATTTTTTCTACAAACAGAGAATGCCAATTTCTATTTGTAAACAAAATTTCAGAACAATCGGCCAAGAATTGGCCAAGAAAACGAAGGTGGACGTACACTACTGGACAATGAAATATCATATTTGAAAAAAGATCGTCACTTTCGCGCGTCTGTAACTGCTTGTCTTTACCGTATTTCTGAATATTAATATTACCATTGTGTAGCCCTTGAAAAGAGCTTTCAGAAAATGTATAACACTAATAGTTTAAACTCAAAGACAAGGGAGTTACAGACGTGCGAACGTGACGATCATTTTTCAAATATGATATTTTATTGTCCAGTACTGTAGGTTCGGATTGGAATTTTCCTATGTCTAGTCCAGACCAGGCCAAACCAGGTAGGTTTTTTCGAACTCTACCTTATTGCAAGCCTATTGTGAATCATAAGTCTCTGAGTATCCTGTAACACCTTGATTCTAACGCTTACAAGAGAAAACATTGCCAATACCATCTTCTAGTCACCACCGAAACGCGAGAGCTCGGACACACAGTAGCGGCGATCAATCGACTCCGAGAAATGAAAGATGGTCGAATGAGAGACGAACAATTGTGAGTTTAGAGTTTGCTTTCAGTGAGAACTTTCCAGATTTGACACGGCTCGCGAGGTGACGATCTTCGTCCTCTCACTCACTATTCTCCTCGGGTTGACCTACTATTGCCGAGATCGAAATGGATTCTATTATCAACAGCAAGCAAGTTTACTACTTTGTTAAAGCCAGAGAAAAGAAGAGAAAGAACAGTCATAGAAAGAACAGTCAGGGAAAGAACAGCCGGAGAAAGAACAGTCAGAGTCTCTCTTAGGTAAGTACAATGCTGGCGTTGGACTCACAAGTGGATAACTCGGGTTTTATGGATGTGGCAACAGCAGACGATTACTGGAATTGGTTGAATAAGACTCTGGTAACAGGTTGGTGCTTTGATTGGCTGCTTTGGCTTTTCTAAATAATCCATCTTTAGCTTTGAGAGTCTCTTGGTACGATGGACAACCGGCTTGGAATATGCGAGGGTTTTTGAATGACAAGGTATTTTTATTTTTACAACACCATGTCCATCTTATAGAGTCGGCCATCGGGACTTGAAACCGTTTTTAGTTTAGAATACCTTGTCATTCATTTTAATTGACAATTCAGGTCTCCCGAGCGATGGGCTACGGTACAATTCGGCAAGTTCGATCAGCTCCAAATGTCAACTGTAAATTCGCCGACAATCGACTCGCACAATTTTTTGATGGTTGTGAAGGATTCACAAGCAAAAAGTTTGAGAAAAATGATTTCTGATATGTGGTAGATGGGTAGTGGACTCGCTAAGTAGAAATCATAGAGTTCCGGATGAACAATCACATTGTCGACGAGTGTACCAGCAGGCAGGAAGCAGGCTTCCTGTCTGCATTACCAGCACATTACCGGCCTCACTAAAACCTGTTGTTGAAAGAGCTTTTTTTTTACACTATTGCTTTTCAAAAGTATATGAAAATTGTTTAGATACGAGGTGATTGTGCCTGGGTATACGGCTGGTTGGAGAAATGTCATCGAAAATGTCACCGACGATATGAAAAACAATGATACAATGTGCCCGTATATCTACAGAAATGGAGAGGAATTGCAAGGGAAGGGAAAATAGATTAGATAGGGATATTAGATTGATATTGAGTTTTTGATATTAGATATTTCTGACCTGTAGTCTGATCCTGAAGTCTGATCCTGAAGGATGCCTGAATATCTCTTTATTTATGAAATTAAAAAGTCCATCTATCTATCTGGATATTTTGGAATACTGTAGTGATTGACTGGGATTATTGTAAATGACTCAAGAGCTACAATAGCTACAATAGCCTCTCCAGCTACAATAGCTACAATAGCTACAATAGCTACAAAAGCTACAATAGCTACAAAAGCTACAATAGCCTCTCCAGCTACAATAGCTTTAAGCATCAATCAATCTTGTCTAACAGTATTCCAGGGTGACTGGATATCTTTTCAAATTTCTAATGAGACAAAGATGTTAGTACGTGTTTGTACTTGCCGTAAATACTGTAATAGTACCCCATCCCCATAATGACGGTGCGGAGCGTTGCGTAGTCTAGCTTTGGACGCGTTTTTCTCGACACTGGTTTATGCTACAATGATCGTTTAGGTATCAAAAGATAGCTGGAATTCAGGGCTATTTTTTGATACCAAAGACGCATTTTTTGAAAGTACGGGCACTTTGAAAAAAAGCTTTGATTAACAAAATACTAAAAAACTTTTGCGACTACGCAACTGTACGAGGGGGGTGGGGTACTATTTACAGTATTTACGGTATGTTTGTATTGGAATATTGTAGTGGGATACAGTAACTTTAAGCACCAAGTTCCTTAACTAAACCAACAACAAAAATCAACAATTCTTTCAGGACAAGGCATCATGGGCTACCACGACAGCTACAGCAACGCCGGCTACGCGCTAAACCTTGATGGAACCGCCGACTCGTTGAGGGAAACGTTTGCACAGCTGAGAATTGATGGGTAAATGAATATTAAAGTAAAGAATGGCAGAAAGAAAGACTTGCGGAAAGGGGATTGAACCCACGACTTTTCTGCTTTCCGGGCAGATGATCTAAACACTGAGCTATCCGCCTATCTTTTTACCAGAGAAGAAATACAAGGTGCAGAGAAAGCAAGAAAAAGAAGGAAACAATCTTAACTGCTACATTGATAGCTGGATCGATCGATACACGAGAGCCATCATCACCGAGTTCTCGATCTACAACGCGCAGACAAACTACTTTGCCGTCGTGCAGCTGCTCTTGGAGAATCCACCAGATGGTTTGTGATTGAGAAAACTTCATAATCATAAATAAAATCTAGGCACCATTTATCCGTCCTACTGGGTGGAAACGGTTCGACTTTTGGAGAATGGAGGAACGGATGGACAGGTAGACCATCGGCTAATGCATTTCTATTGGGTTGGTGAATTGAAAACTCCGTATAATGAGAGACGATTGGAAGAGACGAAGCTCTGTTCATTGCCGGCTTAGAGAGAAAAGACTCAGAGATTAAAATACTTCATCTATTGGGTTGGTGAATTGAAAACTGCGGGACTTTGAACTAAAATTTATTCAACATAGAACCATGAATTCATTCCAAATAATTTCCATTATTATTGACGACTTCTGCCCATTTTACAGGCAATTTGCGGATTCCTCTTTCTTCGTAGGATTTTGGTTTTGAATCGAAAAACTTTCAAGGAAAATCCGCCCAGCCCCTCATCCCATTTTTTCCCGATACTTTACCAAACCCGAAAGGAAAGTCCCTTATGCAAGCCCCATTTGCCAGGTGGAGAGCGATTGTGTGCGTGTACAAAGAACGGATTCCTCTTAGGATTTTGGTTTGTGTGTGAGACAAGTGTGAGACTCAAAAATGGAGGACTGGAGATGTCCCAGTTTGAGCATTTGAGCACTTTCTTCAAAAGAAACCCATTTTGGTGTCAATAGAAAAGTTGTAAAGAATCAAAAATAAGGCTTATAGCCAAATTTCCAAAAAGATCCACTTAGTAGTTTCGCTTAAAATGCAAGTTTTGTGAAAATTCGTAAATTTGGCATTTCTTGAAAATGAGTTTTTGAATCGTTCTGAAAATTTGGATATAAGCTTGATTTTTGATTCTCTACAACTTTTCCATTGACACCAAAATGGGTTTCTTTTGAAGAAAGTGCTCAAACTGTCACATATGACAATAGCCGGCAGTTTTCAATTTACCAACCCAATAGATCGAGATTAGCCTTGATTTGCGGAGAAGTCGATGTCGAACTTGAAGATTCGGAAACGGCCAGAAGAGATTAGAGCCCAGAGAGGGCAAGGGGTTATGTTAAAGCCCTGCGCCAGGCGACGAGCGATTACGCGGCAGGCCAAAGAACACACAGAACACACAAATGTTAAGCGGAATTACTAAGTGTATCTTTTTGGAAATTTGGATATAAGCTTGATTTTTGATTCTCTACAACTTTTCCAGTGACACCAAAATGGGTTTCTTTTGAAGAAAGCGCTCAAACTGTCACATATGACAATAGCCGGCAGTTTTCAATTCACCAACCCAATAAAATGTGTAAACATTTGAAAACTCTCGTCATCTTTGTATCTTTCTGATTCAGAGTTTACATTATAAATCTTAATATTTATGATTTAAACTCTAACAATATATGTTATTGATAAGATATTATCTCATTTTTAGATGTCCGGCTACTTTGAGACTCTCTACATCTTGTATGTGGTGATCGTTGTGATCATCGAGGTGACGAGTCTCATCCGAAAAGGAATCAGGCACCAAAAATCAAAAATCAATCTTTATCGATGCCAGTTTTAGCCCACTATTCGACTTCTGGAACTTTATTGATTTCTTGACGATGCTCATCGCTTGTTGCTCACTGTACGCGTATCTGTTCAGATATTTGGCAACTGTCCAGGTGAATTACTTGACTTAGAATCTTCAAATCATTATCCAGGTCACAAACGAGTTTAAAGCCACCAATGGAAACGCATACATCAATTTGGGAAAACAACGAGACTATGAGCTCTACTTTAACTGGCTGCTCGCTTTCGTCGTCTTCTTTGTCACACTGAGAATGATTCGGATCTTGCGGTAAGATCTGGCTGTTAGTTTATATGGAAATTGGTTCCTTACTAGGAATTCGATTCGTAAAGAATAAGGATAAATCATCAAAATTCATCATCGATCATCAACAAGCTAGATTCTGTTTAATCTGTACTTTTGCCTAGCATAGCCTAGACCTAGCCTAGCCTAGCCTAGACCTAGCCTAGCCTAGACCTAGCCTAGACCTAGCCTAGCCTAGCCTAGACCTAGCCTAGACCTAGCCTAGCCTAGCCTAGACCTAGCCTAGCCTAGACCTAGCCTAGACCTAGCCTAGCCTAGCCTAAACCAGAACCGGGCTAAATCTGACATGTAATCAAGGCATTTAATCAAGGATCTACGTTCACTTTAAACTTGATCAAAGTTCTGAGCTTTGGCCTTGCTCCTGGATATGTATTTTCTAACTTTAGCCATTTGTCAAGTGTACTTTCTGTGTAATTTCTAAGCTTTTAGAACAGAACCAAGCTTTTGACAGAGTACAATTTATGACACGAATTAACTAGCAAAACAAACAGATTTATAGATAAAAATCTAAAGAAGATAGACAAAAAAGGTACAAAAAAGCTGCTTATATTGTCAAAAAACCAAGCCAGACTACGGTAGCTTATCCACAGTTTAGCTTTGGTGACAGTCTATCTAGACTTTTGGACTGTTAGACTTTTGGACTTTTGGACTAGATGGACTATCACCAAAAGCCGTCACACCATCTAGACTCTAGGTTATTCTTGTAGGTTATTTATAGGTCTTATTTTATTATTAACATTAAATGCACTTTGTCTACATTGCACACAAAAAACTGGCAGTTTCAATCGTCGAATCTCTGTCCTCGCGATGACTCTCTCAAAAGCCGGCGGTCAAATGGCCTCCTTCTCGATAGCTTTCTTCATCGTCAACATGGCGTTCAACTCGGCTCTTTTCTTGTTATTGTTTGACAAGGTAAAGCTCTACTGACAAGCTCTATCTGACTTCTTAATCTATCACTAAAAACTTGTTTTTAACGCCAACAATTCCAGCTCGAAGGCTTCCGCAATTTGCTATCAGTGACAGAAACGGGAATCTCGGGAATGTTGGGGAAATTCGATCTCTCTGACATCATTCAAGCATCCGCTCTAGGTACGATCTAACTTTTAGCTGTTAATTCTTAATTTCCCCATTTCCAGGCTCAGCAATCTTCATCATTTTTATGATCACCGGCACAGTGATTCTCATCAACATGTTCATCATGATTGTCATGTTTGAATTTGAGCAAGTACGGGAAAAAATGGTGTTCGCATTTCAGTGTATTCTAGGTTCGAAACGATTCCAACCTGCAGACGAACGACTACGAGATTGTGGAGCATTTGACTGGAAAGGTGAGGGAAATGGTGAGGGTGAGGGCGGCGAAATGCTCTTTGGCCACAATATGCTCTTTCATTCTCTTTCATTCAATACAGTACATCCTCATCACTTACATTTTAGTGAAATCAAGTCCCCGATATATCAAAATCGATATCAGAACACTTAGATATCAAAACATAGAACCATTCTCCAAATATCTGAACTTCCTAATAGCCGCATCATCCCTTTTCTACTCTATTCCCAGGTAATGCGCCGCGCTGGGCTCTTCAATCGATCCGATCTCCCGCCTGTCTCTTTCCCGAACACTGAAATCTATTCGGAAGTCGTTGACAAGCTCGAGCAAAGTGTAAGCCTTGATCTTGATCCGGAAGAAATAGAAATTCGGCAAGATTTAAGGCTAAAACGACTTTATTTCAGGTGAAACTCCTCCTTCTGCGTCTCCACACGATGCGCTCGCTCGAAAAAATGGACTTTGACGGGATGAATGTGGTCGAAGTTCGTGAAATGATTGATCGGGCCAAATTCAACTCACAATTAGAAAATCTGGATAAAAACTCAAAGTTTTCAGATCATGAACCCGATGGGGCTCGATTTCATGGAAACGTCCGATGGAGAGCGACGAGCCACGAAAATTCGGGACAGCAATTGGAAGAAACAAAAACTTGGGGATTTTCAATGACTCACTCAAGTTCTAACTGTTAATAAATTTTTTTTAAAATCTAACAAAAACACAAATTGGAACTGATTTTGAAGATAATTTACATATTATTTCGATTTGCATATGAATTCTGGCACCCTGGCATATTATCGCTATGATATGGGATACTTTTTCTTCTAGTAACATTTTACAATATTACAAATTTATCCTTATCTCTATATTCACCTATCAACGGCTAGACAAAAATTCACAAACAAGAGAAAATTAAACAAAAATAAACCCGTAGTCAACGCACACACATTTTGCATAGAGCTCAGCTAGAAAATGTAAAGGCAAGAACAATAAACACGTCATAAATCTTCAAAAAACACAACAAAAATTCTTCCTAGAACTTGTGACATAAAATAGAAAAAAAAAACTTTTTTTCAACCACCACGGAAAAACGCGAACGCTAACGGAATCGTGACGCCGATGGCCGCGTAGAGGAACACCTGAATGGAAAAATTAGGCTTTTATCGTTATAAACTCTTAAAATTTAAAGCATCTCCAAGAATTCTTCAATAAAGCTAAGCACTTACAACAGAGATAAGCGTTTGCAGCTTCATCCGAGACTCCAACTTCTTTTCCGTCTCGTCGAGCAATTTTTGCATGTCATTGCCAACGTAGACCTAAACTTATAGTTAACTAGGTTAATCTTCAGATATCACAAATTCGGAGAATTTTAGTTTTACTTCAAAACAACGACATACCACATTTCCGGCTGTTTCCAGCGATTGCTCGAGTCTCGCCAATCGACTCAGCTCGCTCATCTGCGAAGCAAGGCGCTCATTTTCGGCTCGAATCTCGACCATAACCTAAAAAGGTTAGCTATATTGAAATATAATTATAACAACTACTGTAACAAAGTTTAAAATATATCTACGTAAGGTTTAAAGTTACTATCATACTATAAGGTTTACAAACTTTTTCCGCATCTCTCGTATCAATGGTGAATGCTTGGTTGGCTTCACCGGGCGCGTTCTCGTTTGCGTGCAAGGCGTGCCTCATGTCGACGAGGAATGAAGACACCTAAAATAATTCTTTTGAAAAGTTATGTAAAATTCAACTGAATTCAATTCCATTGCATGATTATTGCAGCAATTAAAAAATCCATTATAAAAAGGACCTTTAGATTTTGATCCCTAACCGCTTGCGCCAGCGCCTCGGTTCTTTCGCTTCCGACGATCTCGCGAAGACGGGTCATACGCATTTCGTTACCTGCAAAAAGTCGCAAATTATAAACATTTATAAACTATAAACAAAAGCTCACGGTACTTCTTTAGTATCCGGGGAAGGATAACGATTTTGGCAAACTTGTGTCACTGATTTTGTTATCTTAAACTTGTCCAATTTTGACTTTAAAGTATGATTAGATAACTTAGATTCTTGTAGATTCTAATAGTTTTTGAGTTTTTCAAAATCTATCACACAAAAAAGTGTTTAAATTGTGGGTTGAAGTTTGGCAAAATGGTTACCCTCTCCCCAGATACTAAAGAAGTGCCAAGTCCACGGCTAAAAATCTAAATTACATTGAAAAACCATAGACCTATCGTTGTAGCGATAATCCCAAGTAAGGCCCCAATCAAAGACGCGCTCACCGACCACCATTTCGTCTTTTCAACTCGTTCTCGCTCTTTCTCGTGACTTGTTCGCACACTAAATATGGATAAAAAACTTATATTACTATCTCTAAAAAGGATAAATAATGCTTGTATACTTTGAACTAGAATCCTTAAATTGGTTTTATCAAATTAACTCACCGATTACTGAGCTGATGAAACGCTTCCCTCTCACCCGTCTCAAGTCCCTCGAAATTTTCGAGAAGCGCGCGTTCTTTCTTTATCAGTTGATGTTCCTCCGTTAGTAAGTGAAGATATCTAAAAAAGTAATTTAACAAAATAACAACAAATGTAAACAAACCTATCTTCTCCTCTCGACGTTCGATCCATTTCCGTGTGTATCTCTTTCAATTTCCGCTGTACACTCTTGATGTCGGCTTGTTTTTCGCGTCGCACTAGCTGCGCTTGGCTTAAACGATTTTCCCACTAAAATACAAAAGCTACGAAAGAAAAATTTGTGTTTCTTAGCATAAAACCAGAAAAATCTTCACCTCCATCACTTCGGTTTGCGCCAATTTGACGGCTTTGATTCCGATGAAATCCTCGTACCCATCAACGATCGACTCGATTCTCCGTCTGATTAGGCCCGGTTGATTCGCTGTTGTGCCTAAAATAAAAAACTACATTGATGATTTAAAATATAAACAAAAGTCTAGTTAACTCGCTTTGTATGGCCGTCTCATTCCTCCGTATCGCACTCACTCCGAAGAATCGGCGGAGCACGCTCGGGTGGCAACGTCGGACGATCATCGGCTAAAAATATTTAAAAATTAATGTTATTTCAGTGATTTTTCACTCAAAATCAAAAGCAATTGCAATTCACGCTCAAAAGCAAACAAAAATTTAGTCGAGAAGTGGTAATCGACGCGTGGAAAGCCCGTGTTGCAAGTTGTGAAACGTTTCTTTTTAAACGAAAATGACAGGGGGTATAAATGGAAAATTTTTTCAATTTCTTTCGGCAAACGAACAATTTAGGAGCACCTGAATTCGATTTTTATTTGATTTTCATTTTCGAATTCATTAACTGATCAAGATTATTCCGAAATTTCCTTTTGCAAATTTCAGTCTAAAATTTAAATACCTACTTTGCAGGGAAAACCCTTTCGGTTTGTCCAAATCTTGTTTGTGTTTAGAAATTTTTTATCGTAAAAACGTTAGTGCCTGTAATATCTGAATAATTTATCTTAGAAATATAATACTATACACAAATTTACAAACTTAAAAACAGTAAACAATTATATGCTAATAAGGGTACAGTGCTTTAGGCTCCGAGTTGCTTGTAGAGAATCGGCACATAATCGTCCCATTCTGCCTGAAAATATGATAATTTTTGAATATTTTGAAATAAAAAATAGACCTGATACAGATTGCCGGCAATCGGAGTACCCAATCCGTGCTTCTTCACAAAGTCACGCGTTTTGAAGCAGCCACGACTTTCACCTAACTTGAAAGTATTACAGAAAATTTTTCGGAAAACCCGATGTGTTGGTCAAATGGCCATGCTCCGGGTCGCTAATTTTGCCCGCTTGTTTCCAAACCAAAAAGATGTAACGATGAAGTCCTGAGAATCCATTTATTTAGTACTGTAGTATCAGTTCATTTTGATCTGATCGGGAATAGGTGTACAACGAAAAAATGGGATTTTACAACTTCAACGGCTACTTTCTCACCATTTCTTTCTACAGCATTATTTTTGATCTAAAATTGGAAACAATAACCGTTGAAGTGATTAAGTCCCGTTGTTCACCTACAATCAGATGAACAGTTCTAATATAAGTTACTTACCTGTTCCTTCTGGTGGTCCAGAGCCAACATATTCGGCTAGCACATCACCCTTCGAGATATCATTTCCAGGAATATTCACAACAAGCCAATGATGCCACTATTAGAAAGTTCAAGGGCAAGACGTACAAACAAACCTCGCGGTAGGTAGCCTCTTTTCGAGACGGTGCGTCCGGATCTAAAAATCCGGATTTACTTCGTACTCAAACTTTTCTGTCTTTGTCCAAAATGGTTATTGTGCTTATTTTGAGACTTAACAAGCTTGGATCTACTGACCAGTCATCAAAAGCGTGTAGAGTTGGTCTCCGCTCGCTTCCCAACTGACTTTCGGCGGGTTCTTGACTTGCGTGGGAGTCAGCACGTTTCCCAGATTTGCCTAAAGCAAAACTATCGATGCCAGATTTTTTCCCCAAACATTTGTTTCCCAAACGCTCATCAATGTACAAAGTTTCCTAGACTTAACCAATCTTCATGAGTTTGGTGCCAATCGATAGGAAATGTTCTCCGGAGTCGAATGACACCAAAATCAGATCAAAATCAACATGAAAAGTTACGGTCAAAATACTACATTTACCCATGGACGCTTGGGGTTGGGGAACAGCTGTCCAGGGATATATAGTGACCAGAAATAATCCGTCCTTACATTTTAACCCCGAGCTTTCTAGATAAAGTGCCTAGACAAAAATGGCCTATGAACACAGTAAGTAGACACCATCATGAAAATTTGTTTTTCTAGGTCGGTCCTGCTTTTTACAGGACACAAAAGTAGGCGCACAGGTAATACCTTCTCACGCCGCTTCTTTTTTTCAAGAAAAATTTCTCCTTCTTTACGCTCAAAATATGGATTAAGTTCAAGTATTTCAAACTAAAATGCCTAAATTGTGTTTATCTATAAGAAAACCTTTTTAGTGCACAAAATTACCGTGAAAACCCATTTATTGACTAAAAAGATGACTTTTTGGTTTGAAAAAATGACTTACAGTACTGGACAATGAAATATCATATTTGAAAAACGATCGTCACTTTCGCGCGTCTGTAACTTCCTTGTCTTTGAGTTTAAACTATTAGTGTTATACATTTTCTGAAAGCTCTTTCCAAGGGCTACACAATGGTAATATTAATATTTAGAATATGGTATTTTTCACGCATTTCAGCGCACAAGATGGGATACTCAAAATTGTTGTTTTCAAGCCGTTTTCTTTTGTAGGTGCTGGAATCGCTCTGAAACTATGTTTTCGGAATCTACGCAAAATTTACCTTAGAATCATCAATATTTGTAAATTTTACACAGTTTCATGGAAAACCACATTTGCGAAATTCTCACTTCTTGGCGGTTCTTCACAAAAATTGTGTTGCGTGCAACTTGATGTTTTCTTTCTTTGCTTTGGGTAAATGATAATAATTACTGTTTTTGGGCAATGGAAGGCAACGAGGATGCAGGTCTTCATGTGCTCACAACAAGCAATCCTTACGGCAAAAGCAAGGTCTTAGCCAGAACCAGTTATCGGAACAGTTTACCGTCTCTCGTCGGTTGACTCCAGTTTCTATAACGTCTAAGTTCGAAAAGTCGAAACTTGAGCGACGAACTAAGAATCCAAGCCGGCAATGCCGATGGGGTTGGCAGGCTTGAATTCAATCGCCGTCGCTTCACACTCTTCTTGATTCAATGCCTCGGCGATGTCAAGCCGTAATCGACGCTAAAGGATTTGCTACTAAATACCGGCCCATTGTGTGCTCTGGGGTTTCCATTATTGTTACTGTTTGTTCTTTTTATTAACTACATTTTTGTTAAATATTTGTTTTCCAGCTTCTTCCTCGCTTGACCGCTCAAGGTGGATTTCGCAAATGTGTTTTCGCTTGAAACTGTGTAAAATTTTACAAATATTGTGTTCTAGGTAATTTTTGCGTAGTTCCGAAATCATGTTTCAGGCGTTCCAGCACTCTATCATGAAAACGGCTTTGAAAATCAACAATTTTGGTATCCCATCTTGTGCGCGCTGAAATGCGTCAAAAATACCATTTTCTAAATATTAATATTACCTTGTGTGCCCTTGAAAGGAGCTTTCAGAAAATGTATAACACTATTAGTTTAAACTCAAAGACAAGGAAGTTACAGACGCGCGAAAGTGACGATCGTTTTTCAAATATGATATTTCATTGTCCAGTACTGTATGTCCCGAGCTTGAAAATTAGAACTCATTCCTACGCTCACTTAGTCGGGCACATTTAAAAAATTTGCTAGATGATTAAAGATTCTAACAGTGAAATCTTCGGCTTAACCCATATTTTGGGCGTAAAGAACGAGAAACTTTTCTTAAAAAAGAAGCGGCGTGAGAAGGTATTACCTATGCGCCTACTTTGTGTCCTGTAAAAAGCAGGACCGACCTAGAGAAACAAATTTTCGTGATTAAGTTCCTAAGGGTGTCTGTTTATTATGTTCATAGATCATTTTTGTCTAGGCGCATTTTCTAGAAAGTTTGGGGTTAAAATGTAAAGACGGATTATTTCTGGTCACCCTGTATGGCCGAGGAACAGATTTCTAATAACCCCATTGTCAACTCAAATACAACAACCCATACCTCAACTCCTGAATCGTATTTGGCCGTCAACGTGTTCTCGGGCGGGATGTCCAACACATCGGGACATACTTCATGCTGTTTGAACGAACCAGAAGCCATTGCAGCGAGATTTCTGAATTGTAAATTGTAAATTTAACCTTTAACTGTTCAACTCGAGAACAAAATCACATCAAAGAACACCTGAAAGCCAGTTGCTGTACAGTCACAAGGCGGGATGGGAAAAAGGAGGCTCGGCTACGCAAGAAAGTGCCCAATAATGCGGCCATTTCTATTCAAAAAATGATTATTGCAAGAATTTGGTATTCTTTCAAATGGAAGCCGTTCTCCATGAAAAATGTAACTTTTAGGAGAAAAAACCAGAACTTTAAGGGGTGGATAAAAGTTATGGATGAATAAAAGTTATGGATGAATAAAAGCTAATAAAAATCGAGAATTCATCAAAAACTACATATTTAATTAAATTTTCCAATTATTTGAGCGGTTCTCGAACACTATATGTGTAGGTAAACAAAAAAACAAATAACTGGTGGAGAAATGGTAAATAACGCGTGAAGAGACTACGTAGCAAGTCGTAAAACGTTCATTTTCGCGAATGGTGTGATAAGCGAAAGAACTTTAACTCAATTACTGCTTACCAGAAATACTAGACTTGCTTATCAGAATTTAATGCAGAATAGGGGGCGGATTACGGTAGAAAATACGAAAAAATAGTTTGTCTGACCCTAGAATCTTTATTAGAGTGTGTTCCTCGCGGGGTAGGCTAATTTCCGCCCTTTTATTTGCGCAACTCGCCATAACTTTGTTCTAAGCGGATCAATATTTAGGATTTTGGTGTCATTTTGTTGCATTTATTGAGATCTACAAAATGATGCCAAAATCATAAAGATTGACTCACTTAGAAGAAAGTTATGAAGAATTGCGCAAATAATTAGCCTACGCAAATAATAAATTAGGAAATTAACCTACCCCTCCCTTGCGAGTCATGCAGTTTTTAAAAAGCAAACTTGAGAGAATTTCTGACTCGTTTTATGACTCCTTTTAAAGATATTCAGCCGTTTAACTGATTTGGCGGCAAATTTCCTTCAAATGTGAAGATGTTCAATTTACTCGGCGTGTCAAGAGGCTTACCTCGTAGTTACTCGACCAAAAAGTCGATTAATCGAGTAAAAATTACTCACTGCAAGTTTTACTCGAGTTTACTCGAGTTTTACTCGACTTACTCGCTGGGAACAGACTCTAATCTTTATAGAGTGCTGTAATGTTGGAAAGATAGTCGGCCGGACCCTACTATATCTCTCAACAATCACTTTTAGATATTAAATCATATCATAGGCATTCAGTCGAAGATATTACATTAATCTGTTAGATTCACGCTCAGAATTTTACTGTATCGAGAGGTGGAAGCTGAGTCCCTTGTTTGTTTCCAACTTTGACTGCTTACTTGTTTCCAACTCTTGCTTTTTTCCAACTTTTGCTTGTATTTTTGTCAATAATATGCATATCTTTATTGAGCAAATTCTTTGGATGTAGATCTTTTTGGATTGCTTGTCTTCTATTCTTTCATCTTCCTTTCTCAAGCCTGTGCCCGACTTCTTTGCTGAATCGATGGTACTCGATTCACAGGGATTACGGTAGTGACGGCGATAGGTTTTGGTGGTAAAGGCTCGTAATGTCTCACAGAAAAGATTACCTAAGATAAAGTTTATATACTATAGCAAGTCTTGTAAAGGAATTGGTATTGTTTTCTTTAGAAAAGCCACCTGCTGATCTTTAAGTAACGTTTACAAAACCTACCGTTGTTTAAAAGCTTTATTTTATTTTCTTCATGGAAAGACAAAGAATTGCGGTAACTTTTCTTTAAGTTAAACTTTTAGAAGCACTTGTCTATGAATATTTAAGAATAAAGTGCTCACTTTATGTCGGATATCGAAGAAGACTAAACAATGAAATGAAATGTTGATCACCACACCCGCGTACTCGGTGATCGCGAAAATATCATAGGCTAAAAATTATTTAATCAATTTGATTATTTAATCAAGCCTTGCTCAACTCACCAACAGTAATACAAGCTTTCCAATACAAGAAAAATGAGGCGCACAAAACGGGCGCCGATAGCACATACATACAAAAGAAGAGCACTTTTAGACGATAGGCCATAACACCCTGGAAATTTCCAATACCTAATATACCTTATTCCAATTGAAGAGCCCCTTTAAATGAAATTTTTCATTTCTTTTTTGGATTTGTCAACTCTCGGATAGCAAAATGCTCAACTTTTTCTTTCAAAAAAGACTTTCAAAGGCTTTAAATAATAGTTATAGACTACAGGGTGCGTCATAATTATTGCAACAAGATACTCAAGGCATTGCACACCAAGAAGTTTCACTGGAAGAAGATTTTTAAACAGAAATAGCTTTATTTAACAGTAATAAATAAGGAAACAAGAGATCATTCGACATGACCGCCTTTTGCCTTGATAACAGCCCTTAATCGGTTCGGATATGCCTCCACTGCGGCCCGAATGTCATCTTGAGGAATCGCCTTCCATCCTTTGGTCAAATCATCTTTTGTGTTTTCGAGAGCAGACATTAGCCTCTAAGATTGCCCAAATGGAAAAGTCCATCACATTGAGATCCGGTGAGTTTGGAGGCCATTCATCATTGGTGATCACTGAGGGAAAGTTGGCCACACACCAGTCCTGAACCGTCTTCTTCGTGTGAGCGGGAGCTCCATCTTGCATGAAAGTCCAATTTTGATTGTTATTGGCTTTACACGCCCATGACATCACATTCTTGACATCACATTCTTGACATCACAAACGGTCTTTGAACTCTTGTTGCAATAATTATGATGCACCCTGTAAAAAAAGCTTAATGACATCAAAAACCAGATGAAACAATCCAACAAAAACATCCATCTTCAAGCTTTTGAAAGTTTGGGTACTGTAGCTAGGGCACGAAAAATATTTAGAAAGATATTGAAAAATAGAAGAGCCGGCTCTTCTATTAGAATGTTTACAGTATATAAAACGGTAGATCTAATACCTTAAAGCATTGAGCTAGAGAACTGAAAATTTGGGAAGATACGTAAAAAATATTTGATTCAGAATATCTAATCAGATTTTTAAAGCGACTACGCGACTGCACGTCATTATTGAGAGATACTATTACAGGTATTACGGTCGTTCCCGGTAGAGTTTCCCGCGGGAAAGTTTCTGGAAGTTGCCCTGGAAACTTTGCCGAAAAACTTTGAGTTTCCCACTGCCGGAAACTTTCTCGGCAAAGGGGCCCGGTATTGTTTCGAATAGTATTCAGGATGTGATCCCGGAATTGCTTTGAAGGGATATTAGTTAGATCCCGATATTGTTACATTGTTACAAGGCTTTCGGAGAGGCGTTAGTCGCAATTCGCGAGTCGCGACGAGCATCCCAATTCAAGGATATTGTGATTGATTACGGTATTGCTTTACTCTTCATTTAAAACTATTAAAACCATTTGCCAGTTGTTTTCAGTTGAAAATGATTGGTTGATTATTGAACAGGAATCGAGAGTCAGAGCCGGGCCAGGCCTAGGCTAAGCCAGCCCTCAGAGCCCGATCAAATCCGATCCAGATCTCTTCTGGCTTCTGGTGAACCTAGAGACTTTTTGAGGGTCAGACCTATAGGAAAGCCAGGTCAGTTCCATCTTCTAGGCTTGTCTCTGTCCCAAAAAGCTACTTTTGAAACAATCCTATTACTAAAAAACTCACATATGGCTTGAGAAAATAGATTGAGTATCGATGACAATAAATATTAGCAAAGAAATGCACCATTCCGACGAGACCAAAAGCGTAGAAGAGAACGACGTGAAGTTCTGGAAGTGTAAATGTTTTGAAGCTCTAGAATGTTCTTTAAGGTGTACTTTGATATCAAACACATCCTTTCTGGCAAACTGAAACCTTAACTTTACCTTACAGATTCGAATTTACCAGAAAGTGTGCGTCTAGGTTTGAGCACAAATTATATAACTTGCTTTGAAAACTCACTAATATTCTCCCTCTCTCCGATAATCGAAATGGCAATCATCAAGCCCAACTCCAAAACGCCAAAGCCCAAATAAGCGTACCTACTATAATGAAGATCATAGAAAATACATAAATTCATAAATTCAATTCAACCTTAATTCGAATAGCTCAGTGTTTGAGCAAAGATTCGAGCGAAGTCGTGCGAAGCGAGTGACTGGAATTGGATTTATTTTTAAACTTTCAAATTTTACTTACAGCCGGTTGCTAAGCCGATGACCCTCATTGGAGCATGATATAAGATCACCATTTGCCAAATCGTTCTTTCTAGCGGTAGATTGATGATTCGGGAGAGGGAAGGGAGGCGAGCTCTCTGGAAAAAGAATAGATGAATGTTTGTTTGTTTGTTTGTTTGTTTATTTGTTTGATGTTTATTTGTTTGATGTTTGTTTGTTTGTTTGTTTGTTTATTTGTTTGATGTTCGTTTGTTTGTTTGTTTGTTCCTTTTTTTGTTCCTTTTTTGTTACTTTTCCATGCGATCATCTAGTAGACAAAAATAATTGTATTAGGCTATTCAGAAACGAAAAGACTTTCTAAACAGCTTAATATCATAGCTCTTCATGGATAAACTTCTCTAGGGTTCTAGGGTTTCTCTCGTTTTCTAAAACCTTCAAACTTTCCAAAACTATTGTAATCTTGCCTCTAGAGCAAGCGAATGATGCAAATAACTCAAGAATGATGCAAGTAACTAAGTAACAAGAACGATTTGGCAAATGGTTGTCCTATATCATGCTCCAATGAGGGTCATCGGCTTAGCAACTGGCTGTAAGTGAAATTTTAACAGTTTTGAACAGAAATACTTTGAACTAGATTGATTTTGAATAAGATGTTGATTTCTTGATATTCTTGTCAAGATCTTCATGCCAACTTGCATCTTATTTTAGTAAGTTATCAGATAATATCCAATCAATCAGATCGTCGGGTTGATTGAGATCGGATTATACCAATTATACCAATTCTGAGAGTTTATCGGATCGGATCAAAGCTGATCCAATCGCTGATCCAATCGGTCAAAGCTGATCCAATCGCTGATCCAATCGGTCAAAGCTGATCCAATCGGTCAAAGCTGATCCAATCGGTCAAAGCTGATCCAATCGGCCAAAGCTGATCCAATCGCTGATCCAATCGGTCAAAGCTGATCCAATCGCTGATCCAATCGGTCAAAGCTGATCCAATCGATTAACATGTCTACTCAGCTACTGTACTGTAAAATGCCTAGCTACAGTTCAGTAAACTCATCAAAGCATACTACAATTTGATTACTGAGCAAACAATACTGATTACTGCCAAAATACTGTTGGTAGAGGTGTAAATGAAGCTTGCTAAAGCATTGTTTATGTTAAATATTATTTTTTATCATTTGAACAGTCTAATAAATCTAATTTTATCATGTGCTTTATTCATTTCACAATTTTTCGATATTTTCCCGATTCCCCTCCCTGTTTTCTAATGATTGCCGACTGAAAATTGCGAGATTTCAGTCGATCTCAAATCCCAACCTGTTTTTGATGATTTACGAGAATTTCTCAGGCAAATCAAGAAATCAGAAAACGGGAAAAAGATTAATGAAACGTCAGAGAATCACATTTTCTTTTACTATTCTTATTAAGAGTATGGAAAAGCACCTGTTTTTTGGAGCCAAATTTAACTCTAAAGGAAACGTTTGTTTTAGAGTTTAATAAGTTTAGAGTTAGATTTAGAGTTAGATTTAGAGGTAGATTTAGAGGTAGATTTAGAGTTAGATTTAGAGTTATTTAGTTCCTATTTAGTTCCTATTTAGTTCCTATTTAGGTCCTATTTGGTTCCTATTTGGTTCCTTTAAAGCTCCTATTTGGTTCCTTTAAAGTTCCTATTTAGACCCTATTTAGGTCCTATTTAGTTCCTTTATAGTTCCTATTTGGTTCCTTTATAGTTTATAGTATTTAGAGTTAGATTTAGAGTTAGATTTAGAGTTTAATAAATTTCAACAACTTAGCTTCAATCTTACAGTTAGTTATTCTAAGTTTTTTAAATTAACGACTGAAATCCTACGGGTTTCAGGGCTATTTTTAAGTCAAGCATTCCCCTAAAATTGAGATTTACTTTGTGCTTTAAGCTCAAAGTTTGCAAGCACACCTTTTCTGGTGCACTCAATTCATTTTCGCAGCAGAGACTTGGTATGGGAAGAATTGAAGGCACCAGAAAGGGTGAGTTTTATTTTTTCATGTTTGCCAGAGCACAAAGTACACTCATATCTAATTGTTGAGTTGAATTTGTAAACAATTTTGAATACAAAATATAGTATTTCCAAATTTCAACTCACCCCACACTGCCAATTATAGTTTGAGATCGCGTCATGGTGGTACAACAAAGCAATCACAATACACGAGATACAACCAGTCAATGATGGAACCAAGCAAACCAAGAAAATGTCTAATGGGTTGAATCTGAAAATGTTTTGCAATTCTTAAAATAACGGCCGATTTTTATTTCTATTGCTTTTGATAAAAAAGTAGCGGTAGAAAAAGTTCGACCGGCAGCGGATCCGAACCCTAGATCTCTCGCACCCGGTCCGAGCATGTTAACCACTCGGCCATGCCACCCGACTGGACGCATTGACATTTCGGGATTATATATGATTCCGATAAAGAAAATGAACTCGATAACTAGCCTTGATAAATAGCCTTGATTTTCTCATTGTCATTGCTAGCTGAAATCCTGAATCCAAGAATTTCAGATTAAATCAAAGCATTCATGTATCCATTTTCCCCAAAATAACACCAAAAATCATTCGGTTTTAGGAGTTTTCCTCGAAAAATTCCCCTCAAATGCTTGTCTTTTCTGTTAACCACTCGGCCATGCCGCCCGAATGGAAATATTGACATTTCGGGATTATATAGATAAAGCAAACAACAATGCATTTGTCGGGCGACCAAGATTTCAGATTAAACAAGCCCCAACCCCCCACCCCGCCGAAGAAAGGATATTCACGTTTTGCCTTTCTTTATCTGAATAGAGATTTCTCTTTCTTTCTTTCTTCCTTCCTTCCTTTCTTCTTTCTTTCTTTCTTTCTTTCTTCTTTCCTTCTTTCTTCTTTCCTTCTTTCCCTTTTCTTTCCGTAATGCCTTGAATTTTCTCCCCAACAATTTCCTGCTCTCTTTTCTTTTTTTCCAAAAAAACTGGCAGTGAATGAAATTGATTTAATCTAGAGATCTCACTGCCTATTCGTAAAGGAGAATAGAATTTAAAAAAGTTTATGACTTCTAGAAAACAATGTGTAATCAAGGATAACCTCATACCCAACCGTTCTTTCAATTCAACCGTTTCAAACTTCACAGTTCATTACTCTACTTCATTTCAATGTGCTCTTAGGTAGATATTGATCGTTTAAGAGGCAATTATATTCTGATTATACACTTTAAAAGAATTAGATGTTGGAATTAGCAAGCAACGAACACAAAACAAGATTTATAACCAGATCCAGCCAGATCCAGGATTAGCTGGAACTCTGGTGTTGGTTTAACAGTTATGAAAAGAATACAAGGTTTGACGAAAACCACAATTAGTCCATATATTTGGAGAGAATTTCCTACCGGATCGGTGCCGTTTCAGATAAAAAGAAGCTGGTTAAAGGATGTGATTAAGTCGTCTCAAGAGACAATGAACCCGTTTCTGGCAAATGATTCAAATTTGCGAAGAAAAACACCAAAAGACTTGAATCTATTGAATAGTCTGAACACAGTAAAGAGGCAAATTTGTTTATTGACTTTTCCTTTGATTATTATTTCTTTCCAAACTCCAACTAACCTATTCACTTCGACAACCTTTTTCCCTTCCCATTCATACAATTCATATAATCCATTCTTTCTTTGTGCTGGTGTGACCACTTTTCTTTCCGAAAAATCCATTTAAAAGGGATGACAGTAGATTGGAAATCTTTGGTTTTGTTGTTTAGCTGCTGAAAAGAAAAGCTTGAAGATGAAAACAATAAAGCGATGAAGAATAAACTTTGATAAAAGAGAATGGAAGAGAATGGAAGAGAATGGAAGAGAATGGAAGAGAATGGAAGAGAATGGAAGAGAATGGAAGAGAATGGAAGAGAATGGAAGAGAATAGAAGAGAATAGAAGAGAATAGAAGAGAATGGAAGAGAATGGAAGAGAATGGAAGAGAATGGAAGAGAATGGAAGAGAATGGAAGAGAATGGAAGAGAATGGAAGAGAATGGAAGAGAATGGAAGAGAATGGAAGAGAATAGAAGGGAATAGAAGATAATAGAAGAGAATAGAAGATAATAGAAGAGAATGGAAAACAATTTTGTACTACAAAATAGATCAAAATCTGATGTAAAACAGCAATTTTTAAAATATCAATTCATAAACTTTCACTTAAAGCTGTCTATTCTCTAAAATCAAAAGTTTAACATTTAACGTAAAAAGTGGGACTTTTACAAGACGCAAGAACAAGATTTCCGTAATGGAGCTTCATGCCAAAAACGAAAGTCACTCACATTCACGAAACAGGAAAAGATAGTGTGAAAAAGGAGACAAGGGAAATTGTTTGGAGAGCTATTTGGCTGGATGGATACATAAAGTTCTATAGGGAAAGGAAAGAGATGAGAGATTGGGGAAAGCTAATGGCTAGGAAAGCTATGGGAAATGGCAAGGGTTTGAGGTAAGGAAAAGTCGATGAACGTTCGAACCAAGTACAGATGATTCCTAGGTACATTAAAATGTATCTTAAACCTAACTCTTTCATGTACAAACCAAATAGGAATTCGATCGGACCAAATAGGGCCAAATAGCTTTGTCTGAATATCTGAATCATTCAAATTTGATTCCAGAGTTAGAAAAATGATTTCAGAGACAAATTTTGCGATAAATTCAATAGAAAAGATTATTCAAATAACAATAAAACAGTTAAAAGTAAATTCTATTCAATTCAAATTCAAATATTTGCCTACAGTTATTGTATTTGGATTTTATGAGTATTGATTGTTTATAGAATGAAGTAATGAAGTAATGAATGAAGTAAAGTGAACAAAGTTTTCAAAAATCAAAGTTTGTATATACCGTATTCTCTCTAATAGTAGCACCACTATTTTTTCAACCCCCTCTTGGACCGCAATACTATTATGGAGTGCACTACTATTAAAGAGTTTTATCATTTACCAAAGTAAGACAGATATAAGATTTGTTCCAAAAATTCTTGCAACTCTTTCACGTACTCCTTTGGCTCCTTTTGACATACAGTTGTGGGCTGGCGGGTTGACAATTGTTGACAATTGTGTGTTGACAAACAACAAAAAGATGTTTTTGCCCTTTGCACAACAATTTTAGATTTTTTAGATTTTTTGCTAACTTTTTCATGTGAAGAATAGTTAATAAATGAATAAAAAAAGCCTCACTTTTGCTTGCTTGAATAGCTTTAGAATGTCACATAAACGGTAGCTTTAGAATAGCTTTAGAATGTTACATAAAGTCAAAAAGGTTTAGATGAAAAAGAAGCAAACAGAAATTCAAATTTTCGTGGGTGCACTACTATTTTTTCAACCCCCTCTCGGACCGCAATACTATTAGAGAGTGCGCTACTATTAAAGAGTGCATTATTATTAGAGAGAATACGGTAGTTAGAATCAAATTAAGTAAATCAAACAACAAATCAAAGTCGTAAAATTAAAATCGGAGTATTAAATTCAACCATTAAGCAAGAAAGGTCAGTTGAGCTCAATTCAACCATCGTTATTAGATTAAAGGCTTTCTTGAAGCCTTTCTTGAGGCTAAACAAGAAAGCCTTTAATCTAATAACAATAGTTTTCAAGAAAAAGATATTTTCCAAAGATATAAAAGGTTTGCCAAAAAAGAAGAAGCAAGATTGAGCCTGACCGGGGGAAGCTATGGCAAGGATTTAGTGGAGGATTTAGTGAAGGAGAGGCACAGGGAGACGCTAAAAGAGAAGCCAAAAGAGACGCCAAAAGAGAAGCCAAACGAGGGAAAGCCTGGGATGGATCGGACTCCCATCTTTTTGAATCTTTTTCAATGAAAAGAGCTAAATGTTCTCACTCTTTTCCCTTCCTTATTCTTTTCACACATTCACTTCCACAAGAGCTACACTTGAGGCAAAATGAGTCAATTTTTATACACCCGGAAGGTGAAAGTTGCTTGAGGAAGTGCAGAAGATTGGCTAAATTTCAATTTTACCTTTTGCAACTTTATAGGCTTGTAAAGAACTCTTGAACTTTCAATTTTTGACATTCTTACTTTAGTTTACATTCTATAAAGGGTACTCTATTAATTCAAGACAAAAATAAATGTATTAGGCTGTTCAGAAACGATTCAAGGTTTCATTTCTAAAATTGTCATAGTTAAACCATATATACCATTGTAAAGCTGTCGAGCTAGTAAAGCTGTAAAGCTGTAAATCTGTAAAGCTGTAAATCTGTAAAGCTGTAAATCTGTAAAGCTGTAAATCTGTAAAGCTGTAAAGCTATAAAGCTGTAGAGCTGTAAAGCTGTAAAGCTGTAAAGCTGTAAAGCTGTAAAGCTGTAAAGCTGTAAAGCTGTAAAGCTGTAAAGCTGTAAATCTGTAAAGCTATAAAGCTGTAGAGCTGTAAAGCTGTAAAGCTAGTAAAGCTGTAAAGCTGTAAATCTGTAAAGCTAGTAAAGCTGTCGAGCTAGTAAAGCTGTCGAGCTAGTAAAGCTGTCGAGCTAGTAAAGCTGTCGAGCTAGTAAAGCTGTAAAGCTGTAAATCTGTAAAGCTGTAAAGCTGTAAAGCTGTAAATCAAGATCTTAAGCAAATTTCTTGACTTTCCAAAGCACAAAGAACATTCTTGAGCCTCTATCAAATCCATTTTTAATCTAATAGAACCAGTCTTTTCTAAAATTGCTTATCTTATTGTAAAGATATTACAAATTTTATTTAGAAATTTATTCAATCAATTCTTTTCTGAAAAAAGTACAAAGTTGACAACACTGGAGATTTGAAATTAACCCGTTTTTATATAAAATATAGAGATCTTCAAAAAAAGAGAGATATGTTTAATGAACCGGGATTGACAAGAGATCAAAAATATACAAAAATTCAACAAATTTATATTCAATTTGTGAGATGGGGGCAGACTGGCAATAAGAATCGCTTCAAAACTGGTTTCACGACTTTTTTTTTCTGCTTCTCTTCTGCTTTTTTCCGTAACCCTTCTCATAACTTGTTTTCGGATCAACACAGCTGGTAGCAGGGAAAAGTTGATTGAGATCTTCTGGGAAAACCCGCTAGAGATCGTTTTTTTTTTTGAATTGAAAATGTCGGCAACTTATCTTAAAGCCGGAAAACCGACTACCGTGTTTTCTCTCGTTGAGCCGAGTTGATGACTAGTTTACTGTTTCCAAGTTTCTCACAGAAGCTCAACACTCTAATCCTCCGCAAGATCTCATTGTCAGCTACATTTTCCGATCTCACATCGATAGGTTCTGATAAGCCATTTTCGAGATTTCGAGGACTTTAGGCGAACTTTAGAGGAAATATGGTACTATTAGGGAAATTAGGGAAATTAGAGAAATTAGGCAAAACATTGGGGAAAATACGGTAACTTACTATTAGCTAAAAGTACTTTGAAGTCTTAAACATAAACAAAGGTGGATTAAGGACTTAAAAAGTATGATATGTACCGTCGATACTGCATAAAATGATGAAAGATCGATTTTGGCGTCCACTATCGCATGCCAAAATGCTCTGCTAAACTTGAAAACGTTAAAACGCCTGGCCGAAACTTTACAGTACAATAGCTAATAGCTATTTTAGTACAATAGCTATTTTCTTAGGCTAAGGGATGAGAATTTAAAAACCTAAAGATAGAGAAAAAATCAGAATCAATCATCAGTTTCATTTTCGAAAGCTCTCCGCAAAATGAGCGATGAGGCGAGATCGGCTGAAGAAACGCAAGCGGTTGGAGGCATCATTGAGCTCAACGGAACGGCTGGTACTGAAATTGAGGGTTCAGAAACAAATATTAGCTTTTTATTAGCTTTTAATTAGATTTTTCTATTATTAGGTACCTGTAAGTAATATATTTATACTTTGATCTTTATAATTTCTTATAAGACCGTGTCTCGGCGTGGTTTAATAGTAGATGTCTTGAAAACGCACAATTTATCAAAACTTTCCCTTATTAGGGCGAACTTTGCTCAAACTGGAGCAACCTGGGACTATCACGATTACTTCAACACTTGCGTGTGAAAAAAAGGATGAATAGAAAAAGGAGCACACAACTGCCTCGAGATAAAGCTTAAAAAATGGGGTTTTAAGTACACAAGTTACGAAAAACGAACAACTGAATATCGTGGCTGATTACGGTAGTGGCTGAGTACGGTAGTTTATCCATCAGCTTTGAATTTTAACTTGTGTATTGAATTTGGACTAACTGCAGAGCAGTGGCAATGCGCCACAGTACCTTAAAAAAATCGAGTACTCGGGTAAAAAGCTGGTAAAAATCGGTTAAGATTGGGAACGAGTACCATAAGAAAAGCGGCTACCACAAAATTGAAGATTTTGGAGTCCACTGTAAATCTTACTACCCATTGGACGTCACTTTCTTCAAAAGTGCTCTTGGTTAACAGATTAATCAGTTGTTTTCTTACATAAGAAATTTTAGATGATAACAGGCTGAAGTCGATGTTTAATACCTATTGGATTAACACACTTCGTGGGTCACCGATTTTTGCGAATTCTGATTACATTAACTCGCAAATCAAGGATCTTGCTGGAAAGGTTAAGCGATTTGTTGTTTTGCTTTAGCGTTAATGTTTATTTTTATGTTTATGTATAAATGAGTTTTTTTGAGGAAAGACTGAGAATAACGAATAAGCGCCTTTCTGGGTTTCAATTTTGAGAACTGGTAGAGCTGATCGAAAGGCCAAGCTGGCTTCTCTTTTATCCCTACAACATTTTGTGAGCCTATAGTAAAGCCTTTAATATAGTCTATAGTAAAGCCTTTAATATAGTCTATAGTAAAGGCTTTAATATAGTCTATAGTAAAGCCTTTAATATAGTCTATAGTAAAGCCTTTAATATAGTCTATAGTAAAGCCCCCAATTTTTTTAAATTTCTTTTTTTCCATGAAATCTTCTCAAAACGTATTCAAAAAGATATGTCGGGATTCAAAAAATTCAAAAGATATGTCAAAATCTTTTCTTGTTTAACGAAAGTGTTGAATGGAATGTTAAAAAGGACAACAAATACAGGAAAAAGTACTTGAAATTGCATCGATTAGCTTGATGAATTAGTCTTAACCACTTTTTGTTGTACTTCTGTTTTTGGGTAGTACTTTTTGGGTTTTTTTTTGTAACCTATTCATCAATCAATCTACGATTCACTTTATTATAAAGATCTATTGTTCTTCTACAAAAGATTATTGAAATATTAATCAAATATTTTGTCTCTAGTTTTTTTTGGAAACGTGAAGTCTAGGTCAAAAAAAGGCGACACTCCGAAGATGCGATTTAGGCACTTTGGTCACAAAAACCTATCTTGATGTCAATAGAAAAAAGATAGAGCATAAAAAGTTAGGTATATAGCCAAATTTTCAGAACAATCTGTTCAGCCGATTTCATTTTATCGAATTCTGCGTAAAGCCGAGTTTTTGGACTCGAATTTCCTTGGAAACAGGCTCAAATCGGCTTGAAATGATAGAAAAGTGAATGCTAAACGTTCTATTTAGAAATCCTAGGTTAATTGATGACTTAGTCACGTCTAATACGAATATACGAAAAAAACTGGACAAGATTTGTTCATCAAGGCTTGGTGAACAAGATATGACCACTTTTTTTAACTTATTGGTGGCCAAGCTTATTGGTGGCCTAGCTTATTGGTGGTCAAGCTTATTGGTGATTAACTTATTGGTGGTTAAGTCAATACATTGAATTTTAATAAACAAAACTATCATCAATACAATCAGAATTAACTTATCAAAAAGAAAAAAAGTGATGAAAGCTTTAAAACCAAAAGGGGAAAGAAAACGCTAATGTTAAAAGTTGGTTGGTAAATCGCTGTACCTGATTTTCTTATGGTAATAGAAAAGAGGCAAGATCTCAATAGGTATGAAAAGAGCCAAGATCTCAATATAATGGATAAGAAATACAATTTTATAGATCTTAAATTCTTATTTCACTTATTTTATCTATTTATATAATAAGTTTTATACTATCTAGTCATGGGAAAATCGACTTTCGTTTTCTCGACCGTTTCTTGGTCGACTGCTTTGAAATTTTACAAGCTGAAAATATCGATTTCTATCTGTAGACAAGATTTTAGAGCAATCGGTGAAAAGACGATTGAGAAAACGAAGGTGGAATTTGGTTCGAATTGGAATTAGGTTCGAATTGGAATCTTCCCATGTCTAATGCCCTCTGAATCTACCATTGTCTCATCATTCAACCATTGAAAGCTCTTAAAAGCTCTCAAAAGCAATCTTAGCTTTACAAATCTTGCAACAAGTATTAGAAATGAATATCTACGATAGCTTAAGGATCATATTTATCTAATACTTATACATAATTTGCATAAACTACCTGAGAATAGTCGTTTTGCCAGCGTGGCCAATGAGGGAAATTGTGCCAAGCCGGTGGTTGCCCAAAAGGTCAGCACTTCTCTAGAAAAAATGAATAACTTGTTCCACTTGAAGTTAGATAAAGATAAGATAAAGAATTAGATATTCTTTATCTTGTTTACCTTGTTTGTTGTGTTGGGAATTGATTCCTCGTGTAGCACTCGAGTTCATCATCTGTCGAATCTCCTGTTTCCAATTGAGACAAGAACATTCGCCGTTTTCTTGATGGTTCTCCGTCTAGAAATTTGCATTTAATAAATTAGATACTTTTTATCTTAAATTTAAGCTAAATATATCAAATTTTTGAATTTATTGCTTTCAAACCCGATGGTGAAGTGTCAGCCATTAAACGATCCTCGCTTTTTGGCGAGATCCCGCAAAGATCCCGAATTTTTCGATAAGTATCAGTTCTAAATTGATTTTTAGATAATAGATTTGTTGAATAAGATTGTATTAATTAATTATCTATATTAAACGAACCTCTGCTGTTCGGTGAAAAGAATTGCGAGACTCCGCGCGAGTCTCGGATTCAACACAGCAGCCATCCGGTGAACTGGCTGGAGTTGTGAAGCTGCCTAAAATGGAATATTGGGTTTTATTTGATTTGATTTGATTTTTAGCTAGACTATTCAATTGTCTATAGTTCCAATTTAGCGTACTTGTTCCAATTTAGCGGAAGCCTTTTGTTTCAATGATCGAAGCCCGCTTGACAGACGATCACCCTCCTCGTCCACGCGACACTCGTGCACTAGCGCTGACCACTCTGGGATCACCTGGAAAATGGTTATAGTAGATTTTATGCGTGGTTTCTGATATTTTATTATTCTAGCGATGTCTGGCTTACTTTAAAACTGGTGTACTTTTAAATTATACCAGGCTCCTTAGGGATAGAAGGCAAAATAGACAGACAGACAGACAGACAGACAGATAGACAGACAGACAGATAGACAGACAGACAGATAGATAGACAGACAGACAGATAGATAGACAGACAGACAGACATATAGACAGACAGACAGATAGACAGATAGACAGACAGACAGACAGACAGACAAACAGACAGGTTTGGACTGGTCTAGTCTGGTCAGGTTTGAGCCTGACTTACAGTAGCTGAAGATTAGAACATTCTTGACTAGTGCAGCTATCTGTTTCAATGCAAAGCTCAAAACTTGCTTATATTTCCAAAAGCTATTACCATATGCAAAGTAGGTGAGTGCTCATTTGAGAGAGCTGTCAGTGATTCGTGGAATGGCTCAAGGAAAGCCTCCACATCGGCCACCATCGACCAGTTCACGGCGCCCACTTCAGATTGCAGTCCGGGGATCCTCGACAGCATCACCTAAGAACAGCTTTTAGATCATTCAGATAGATGAGTTGTTTGAAAGAGATGTGCTCGGAAAGTTACTTGAATAGCCTCATGATGTAGCCTCCACGAGTGACACTCTTCGAACCTGAAAAGAGTTTGAAACTTTCAGCTAACTGTAGCTTAAAAGCTTAAAAGCTTCAAGCTTTCAGCTTAAAAGCGTCAAACCAACGCTTCAGCTCAAACTAACGCTTTGAATCCTCACCAATTCTTCACTCCCCGAATGGTGACCCGATTTGGGAACTTTGATGGCAACTGGATTCCACTTTGCGCTATCTTTTGCCTCAAATCGGCCAACTGCATCAAAAGGCTCTTGTTCTCAAGTGTAAGCGTTGAGGAAACAACCTAGATTTGAATTGTTTCGATTTTTCATCATTTCAAACCTCTTCCAGCACCATGCCAACATCGGGAATATTCTCGAAAGACTCCATCGGTGTCTCCAATCCAAGCGTTCTCGTGTGCTCTGGGTCAAGCCTTAATCCGCAAGAGTTGATCGCTTGTCGGACCGCGTCTTTTTCTTTTAGAGAACCCGGATATACACTGAAATCAATTCTATCTTTTTTTTCAAGGGATTTTTTATTACCCCAAGACTGAATGCTTCAGCGTCCAGTCGTTTGTGAGTCTCGACGCCCAGACGACATGCCAATCACCCCTAAAGATATAGATGAAGAATTAAGTTGAAAATTTGCATAATTTTGCAATTGCATGATTAGAAAATCTACAGTAATCTACAGTAATCTACAGTAATCTTTTATCTTTATCTAGATCTTTTGAAACTCACTGATAATCCAGCCGTTCAACGCAAATCGTCACCTCGACACCCGGTGAGGCAAGCTCGTTTCGAGTTTCGTCTTTCGTGAAACGAAGTAGGCTCTCACGGGACTAAAAAGTCGATAAATACTTATAATTTCTATTAAACAAAATATATTTATATTAGATTTATACATATATTAGGGTTTTTAAGCTTTTAGATCTCAAAAAGACACACATAGTTTCAATGGTATTGGGTTGAGTAAATGCTTCAATCACTTGGACTATTGGACTATGATTCATTTGATTTCATCCACTACATCCTGATCTTTATAGCGTGAGAACCTAAAAGTCCTTTCCGATTTTTTGAATTCTTGAATTCAGTCTTGAATTCAGCTTTAGGATGAGCTATAAAACGTCAAAATTGGACAAATTTAAGGTACTCTCCCAAAAAATCGGAAAGGACTTTTCCATCAACCCAATAAAACCTCTAAACTCTATCTAAAACCTCTAAAGTCTATCTAGAATCTCGAAAAGTCTATCTAGAATCTCTAAAAGTCTATCTAAAACCTCTAAAGTCTATCTAAAACCTCTAAACTCTATCTAAAACCTCTAAAGTCTATCTAGAATCTCTAAAAGTCTATCTAAAACCTCTAAACTCTACCTAGAATCTCTAAAAGTCTTCTTGAATTCAGTTTTGAATTCAGCTTTAGGATGAGCTATAAAACGTCAAAATTGGACAAATTTAAGGTACTCTCCCAAAAAATCGGAAAGGACTTTTCCATCAGCCCAATACATTCCATCACTTTCACATTTCACTTTTACCCAATCAAATTTGCATTTAATAAATAATATAGGTCAATTGTTGAAAGAAAAATCGAATAAATAAGTTTTTAAAGATTTTAGATGATCAAGAATGAATCTCCAGATGAATCAAAACCATTAAATTCTTAATCTTAAACTTGATCAACTCCACTCACCCGTGAAATCATCGCCTCATCCGGCAAAATATCCGATGGCGGCACTTGTCCATACCGTCTCCCCATTAACAACAAACGCTCACAAAGTTGACGAAAACCGAGACTCTAGAAAAGTAGATAAATTTTCAACTTTCCCACCAACCGTGAAATGAGCACTTGGTCTCAAGTCCAATGCAGCCGCCCTGGCTGTTGCTTCAGCCAAAAGCTCGCGCTCGACTTCGCCCACGTGAACATCTCCGCTTTGTTGTGAGATCAATGGAGTTACAGAACAAGAAGATTCTTGCTAAATCACTTATTCAATTACAGTTTATGACTTTCAAAAGCCGTCTAAAAGTGTGGGCATAGAGTCTGGAGTTTTCGTAGTCAAGATCTCACCAAAAGCCAGGTTCTGGTCTAGTTTCCGGCATTGTGGCTTTACCTTTCTTTATTGCAGAGCTGGCCTGTCAGGCTTGGACCTGACTCCTGGCCTGATCTAGCTTACAGGACTAGATTTAGGTTTGAGCTTAAGTCTAGCTTCAGTTGTCTCCTGACAATGAGCCTTCAGCTTTCTCCGATGTCCTGAAGTCCTTAGCGTAACATTCCTGGACCAGAGCCAGCAAAACTTAGCTTTTGATCGGGCTTTTGATTTGGCTTCTGATCTGATTATCCGACATTTAATATTGGTTCCGCCCCTTTGCCATTGGAAATCTAACTTTGAGCTCAAATATCTCGGTGCTCGCTTATTCAATTTAAATATTCTTGATATCACTAGATGCGGCAAGTCTTTCTCTATCGATTGCTACAAAAAACTATTTAAATTGAACAGCCGAACACCAAGAAATTTGAGCTTAAAGTAAGATTGCCAATGAATATCAAATGTCCAACAATCTTCTGACCTGACTCAGAAAGTTCCGAACAAAATGCTTTACTTACAAAACTCATTGCTTTACTTACACTACTCGTCACAAAATGCGGCTTTCTTTCCGGAGTACACGATCGCTTCGGCAAATGCATTTGCGTAGAAGAAAGAGTCGAATCAAAAGATGAAGTCGCTGCTCCTTCAGCCGTTTCTGATGAGGTGCTAGAAAAACTGAAGTAGTTGGTAGAAGAAATGGCTATATGATAACAAAATTTAAGAAAAACCTGGGTAAACTATTTCGATAGGATGTGCCGATCGGGCATCGATGTCTCGTCATATTCCCTGTGCCTCCACCAGTGTCCGTGTACAGAACTTTGCATGCGTAACAAGCTACATAAGGTAGACGAACTCCGGTGACCGTGTCGAGCACCTGACCGAACAGATTCCACACCTGAAATTGTAGATAAACAATTGTAGATAAACGAATTGAGAATGCTGCATTGATTGAGCTTTTTTATTCACAAATTTTGAATTTCAAATTTGAATTTGAAGGTCAAATTTGAATGTCGAATGCTCAAATTTTGCATATTCTTCTTCCTTCTTCATTCTCTACAATTTTTCTCTTCTTTTGTTCAAGTTTACTGTGTGATTTTATCAATTAAATATCTTCCATTAGCACTTTTTCATGCTTAATCTTCCATGATCACTTTTTCATGCTTTTTCATGCCTTTTCTCTTCTTTTTTTCAAGTTTACTATGTGATTTTATCAATTAAACATCTTCCATGATCACTTTTCATTCTTACATTAATATTTTCTTAATATTAGAAGTAAATGTGTCAACATTGTCTCAGAAAAGTGCCAACATTGTCTCAGAAAACCCCACCTCACTCCGTCCTCTTTTCCTCACCAACTGAAAACGTCCACCACCATTTCGAACTTCTTCTAAGAACAAAATTTTAATTCTAATTTTAAATTTTAAAAGCTTTCCATATAAAGTAATAAGAATTTGTATATATTTTTCATATTTTAAAGAATATTTAAACGCTTTAAACCTTGAATGATCGACTTTGGTGGCATTTGAGCCATCAACTCTGGAGAAGCTAGTTGCGCTTGAGCAGCCATCTAGAAGAAAGATTTGATTAGATTTATTCTCTAAGCTTAAAAAGTTTAGAGAGTTCAAATGCTGAAGCTGAAGCTCTCAAGCTCACCTGTGCAATGTGTGGAGCTAAACCTTCAAGATCGATCGACAACGATGTTGTGTCATCAGTACCCATTGAGTCTCCGCTTTCCTGGAGATCATTCATTGTCATATTTGTGTTATAGATAAAAATTGCTTTTCTTGGCTTTTCTGGCTTTGGCTTTTCTGGTTTTTCTTTTCTAAGAGATATCTTCTTACTCAAGAGATATCACTCTTACTCAAGAGGTATCACTCACTCAAGAGATATCACTCTTACTCTTCTTCTTATCGTACTCCTCAAATTCTCGTAATAAAGTAAGCCCCAACAATTCCTCACTTTAGTTGAAAACTGCAGAACAGTTTGAGTAAATGCTTCAATCACTTGGACTATCATTCATTTGATTTCATCCACTACATCCTAATCTTTATAGCTTTAGTAGAATGATCTGGTACCTGTGTGCAAAACTGTGGCAACACTCGACTGGTCGGCCATCCCGGCATCCCAAGCCCTAGATGCCCATTCAATCCTAGCATCGCCGTTTGCATATTGCTCATTGAAGCCAACATCTCTGCTGGAAGATCACCTGAAATTTGCATAAATTTTTATCGTATACTGTAGAAGTAGAGATCGTCACCCATGCACTGACCAACTGGCGATCGCGACGATTCCGGAGATTTCCTGAAATGCTCGGTGGCAAGGCTGAGTAATCGGGCTGCTGGATCTGGTGAAGGGACTGTCAAAAGGCGGCCATCGGTTAGTGGATGTTGAGATGGAGAGGGGATTGTTGGTGATCTGAAAGATTAGAGTGGGGGTAACAAGTTCTAAACAAGTGCTGAGTGTATTTGATATTCGCTTACCTGTTCTCGATTGGTGAATGCACCATCAATTTGGGCACATCAACCGCTGAGAAAGCTGACAATGAAGAGGCGAGAGTGGCATGAAGAGGGGAAAGGCCACCGGAAAGGGAACACAATGGAGGCAAGGGGGAGAGGGAGTTGGGATTGATCTGGAAATATATCGATAAGCTAATTCTATAGCTTATTCTATAGCTAAGTCTATAGCTAATTCTATAGCTAATTCTATAGCTAATTCTATAGCTTATTCTATAGCTTATTCTATAGCTTATTCTATAGCTTATTCTATAGCTAATTCTATAGCTTATTCTATAGCTAAGTCTATAGCTAATTCTATAGCTAAGTCCATAGCTAATTCTATAGCTATTCTTACAAATTTCCCCTGTCTTTAGTATTTTAAGAATCTTTAAAAAGTAAACTTTCTTTTATTTGGTTGTTTAGAAATAAGGAATCGATGGAAATTGGGTACAAGAGTACGCAAATTTCATCGATTCATCGATTACAGACGCAAGTTTCATCGATTCATCGATTCAAGGGATTCAAAGACAGACAGTGATTCAATTTCCAGTGTCACGTTTTCAGATCAAAGTTTTAAGTCTCAAAATCTTCACCGATAATAATCCAGCGGGATTCGGTAGCCCTAAGCCAAGCCTTGCGGTTAGCTCTAATGAGGAGGCTCTAGAGAGATCGAATGACGGAGTTCTTGTCGGAATCATTTGCTCAGTTCTTGAAGGCAACTCGAATGATGCAGGTCGACGACTGTCTGAAAACAAATTAATCAAATCAGAAAACTGGTTGAGATAGGATTTCAAAGCTTAGCTTTTTTTGCTTTTTTGCTTTCAAAACTCACCACCCAATAGCGGGGGTATCGTCCTTCCCTCATCAAATGAGTGTGGTCGTCGAGCTGTTCCATCGGGGATCACGTCGCTGTCCTCAACCTAAAAAATGCGATAAACTTTCTATCATCACAGCTAGAAGTTCGTTTTATTTGCTAAATGAATAACGGTGGTTTTTAGAAGTTGATGGTTGTTAGAAGCTTTCAAAAAGCAATCAAAACCACTCACCGCATTCGCTTTTCGAAGCTTTGCCCGTGGTAGAGGCGAGAGACGCATCGGGGAGGCCACAATGATTGAAATGTCACAAATTCCCCAAATAACAAAGCTAAAATCCTCATAAAATACAAAAAAACGACAAAAACGACAAATTCGAAAATAAAACTTGTTTACTTTTGTCAAAAAAAGATTTATTTTGAAGAGAATTCAGAAGAAAAATATTTCCGATTCTCCCCGGAGAGCCGACGAGATTTCTCTCACCATTTTTGCAACTAGATTTTCGAAAAGAACTTAGAAACTTTGAGAATTGAAAGCAAAAGAAAAAATTGAATAGATTTGTTCATTGATTGGATTATTTTTGTTAAAAAAAGTTGCTGTTGATGGTTTAGAAAAACTGAAATTTAACGACGAACAATGAAAATTTTCATTTCCTGATTTTCCGCTTTTCCCAATTTTCCCGTTTTCCAATTTTTCCCAATTTTCCCGTTCTCCAATTTTTCCCAATTTTCCCAATTTCCCGATAAGCAAATCTATAAAAATATAAGAATTCAATACCAGAGTTTAAAGGCTAAACGGATTTGGATTTGGATTCGGATTTGGATTTGGATTTGGATTCGGATTTGGATTTGGATTCGGATTTGGATTTGGATTTGGATTTGGATTCGGATTCGGATTTGGATTTGGATTCGGATTTGGATTTGGATTCGGATTTGGATTCGGATTTGGATTTGGATTTGGATTTGGATTCGGATTCGGATTTAGATTCGGATTTGGATTCGAATTTTTCATCCTTGAAAGCCGATGATTGCAAATTTTTAGCTTTTAAGTATAACATAAAGCCTCTGGGCTCTCGCTGGAATCCAGGCTGATTGTAACTTTTAAGTTAGATACCTTTTAACTTTAAATCTGCCTTGGATACACTAGAGAATCTTCTAGATATTCTTGAATAGATATGACCTAGAGCTAACGAATAGCAATAGTTGATGAATCTACACAGATCAGCGCAGTGGAAAAGCCCAAAAAGTTAAATTTTCAGAGGGAAAACGAAGCCACGCTCACTGCTCCCGTATAGTTCCAAAGTTTACGGGCTACACAATGGTAATATTAATATTTAGAAATAGGGTAAAGACAAGGGAGTTACAGACGCGCGAAAGTGACGATCTTTTTTGAAATATGATATTTCATTGTCCGGTAGTGTATGTTATACTTACCGTAAATACTGTAATTGGACCGCACCCCCATAATGACGGTGCGGAGTGTTGCGTAGTCTAGCTTTGAACGAGTTTTTCTCGACACTGGTTTATGCTACAATGCTCGTTTAGGTATCAAAAGATAGCCGAAATTCAGGGCTATTTTTTGATACCAAAGAGACATTTTTTGAAAGTACGGGCGCTTTGAAAAAAGCTTTGATTAACAAAATACTAAAAAACTTTTGCGACTACGCGACTTTACGAGCGCGGTGGGGTACTATTACAGTATTTACGGTAAGTATTATAAGAAAAGAGACAGTAAACTTGAAGTAGGAGAGTTTAAATTGTAATTGTAACAAAAGACTTTCAATAAAAAAAAACCCTCATTTCAACGATGAAGTCACAGTGAAATCGTTTTCTTTCCAATGCCATTACCCACCCTCGTTCAAATAATTAAAGGTCCATTGGGAGTGATTAGATTTCAAAGAAAAGAAAAGAAATGATGACAGAAATTCATTGAATCAGAAAAAACACTCAAAATCACATTTTGTCACTCAAAATTGAGCGAAAATTAAGCGAAAATTGAGTTAAATAGCGAGAATTCGTGGGAAAACAAAAGATTTTTAAATTCTTATAAACACAAAACGATTTTCTCAACGAATGGGAAAGATGGGAAAGAGTTAAACGAGAAGCCAGCTTTTGATCTGACTTGATTGTACATTTATTGTAGGCATGGATGCTGATGTGTTGCCTTAGAATAGGTTTTAGCCTAGCTCTACTTTACTGGCTGACTTGCAAGGACTTGACTTGCAAGGCTTAGAGCCATTTTGGTCTGTTGAGAGCTACTTTTGCTCAAATTTGTAAACACACTTTCTAGAAAACTTAATTCTTCAACTTTCTTGCAAAATCAGCTCGTTTTCACCGAAAAATCAAGAATTTAATCAAGAATACAATCAAGAATCAAGAAAATCAAGAGGATATAGTCCAGAATTCGAATCTGTTATTAGTTTTCAAAGAAAACAACTTTATTTCTAGATATTTGACGCAAAAGAATGATTTTCGTGAATGTTTTAAAAAGCAAGTGCACCAGAAAGAGAGGGTTTTCACCAGAAAGAGAGTTTTAAGCACATAGTACACACTAGATCAAGAAGATTTTTGTAAATAAAAGCTCTCTAACACACAAGAAGCAGCAATTTAATTCAATTCAATTCAATTCAATTCAATTCTTTTAATTCTTTCAATTCTTCTCAGTTTAGAAGCAAGGAAACCTTTATTGTGAGCTAATAAGAATTGTGAGCTAATAAGAATTGTGAGCTAATAAGAATTGTGAGCTAATAAGTATTGTGAACTAATAAGTATTGTGAACTAATAAGAATTGTGAACTAATAAGAATTGTGAGCTTTTCTCCAAAGTCACCAATTTCTCCACCGTTCTTTTCATCATTTCTAGATGAAAATCACCGTTATTGAGATACAAAAGAGATAAAAAGAGATCAGCTTATAGTTCAAATGTGTGTGCGTAGATGATATAAAGAAAAATCTGAAAAATCTGAGAGTTTATTTTTATCCAAAAAGAATCATCAAAAATTTTGAAATAAACCCAGCTTGGAGTAGGTCAATCGACTTTTTTGTCATTTTGAAATCATTTTATTTCACTTTTTATTCTATAAATATCTCTTTGCAGTGAATATTTATAGGAAATCTTTTCAGAAATCGGTTGCTTTTCAAAGATTACTTCGGGAATTTGAATTGTGTAGTGTTAATTTCTAGAGTTACATTCTAGATTCTAGATTCTAGATCTAGATACCAGATTCTAGATTCTAGATTCTAGATTCTAGATTCTAGATTCTAGATTCTAGATTCTAGATCTAGATACTAGATTCTAGATACTAGATTCTAGATTATAGTATATCATTAACACCTAGATGATTCATTCAAGTTCTAGATATTAAGATTTTACAACTTGTTAGACATTCTAGATTCTAGATTCTACATTCTAGATTCTAGATTCTAGATACTAGATTCTAGATACTAGATTCTAGATACTAGATACTAGATACTAGATACTAGATTCTACATTCTAGATACTAGATTCTAGATACTAGATACTAGATACTAGATACTAGATTCTACATTCTAGATACTAGATTCTAGATACTAGATACTAGATACTAGATACTAGATTCTACATTCTAGATACTAGATTCTAGATTCTAGATTCTAGATTCTAGATACTAGATACTAGATACTAGATACTAGATACTAGATACTAGATACTAGATACTAGATTCTAGATTCTAGATTCTAGATATCTTATCTAGTATCCATTCTACTAGCTATCTTCTTTCTGAACATTATAGTAGATCATTAACAACTAGATGATCCATTCAAGTTCTAGATATTAAGATTTTACAATTTGTTAGACATCGAACAACTTCAGCTAGAACAGAACAACAACACAACACGAAGATTTCTCTTCAGTAGAGAAATCTATCAAAAACCATAAAATAGATGACAAGACAAGATAGATTCTTTACAGCTGAATAACTTGAACCTACCTAATAAGATAACTAAAATATCTATAGAAATCTATGTACTAAAATTGGTATCAGCTAATAACTTTATAGTTATCAGCTGCTAGCTTTAGCTTTAGTCATTCAATTTTAAAATAAAGTTTTTCCATGGAATTTCCCAATGAATCAATCCTCATTTCCTCATTTCATTAAGAAATTCAAAAAACAAAAACAAAATCAAAATCAAAATCAAAACCCAGAAAATTTCATTCTTTGAACCCTTTCTGCATCTTAGTTCTATTGAAAAAGCGTCACCAATTTCCCAAGCAATTAAAAGACGTGATGAAACAATTCAATTACTCCCATCAATCATTCATAAATTCTCTGATTAGAGAAGAGGAAAAAGATCAGAGTCTGGCAAATTAGCAAAAGCAAAATTTGTTTGTCAATCAAAAGTCTCAAGGGAAATTGTGCAAAAACTGTGTCAAGGAAGCCAAAGAAGAGACCCGAGAAGACCTAGAGAAAGGGGGAAAGGAAAGAAGATAGAGCTGAACTCGCTTTTTGCCTGCGGGTGCGTGGGCTGAGAGAATTCTGAGAACACGGCCGGATCAGTTGAGGGGAGAAGGGCCAGGGTAAGCCCTTGCCGACAGACCAACGCCCATTTAGGCCCTGAATGGGTGAGAAAGGAGAGAAAGGAGAGAGCTGGCTGCAAGGGATATGGAAGGGAGACAGTGTGCGAGGCTGTAGGTGTAGAAAAGATTGTAGAGAGAAGAGAGGTGGATATAAAGATGAGAGAGAAAGCTAGAGAGAGACTATTGTAAGGTGTAGGGATTTCAAGATGAAAGACAGGAGAAAAGGTGTAGAAGGGATTGGGGACTAGAGATGGAAGAGAGGACAGAGATAGAGAAAGGTAGAGAGAAAGATATAGAGAATGATATAGAGAAAGATATAGAGAAAGATATAGAGAATGATATAGAGAATGATATAGAGAAAGAGATAGAGAAAGGTAGAGAGAAAGATATAGAGAAAAAGACTCAATAAGAGATAGAAAGATAACAAGATTGGAAAACAAGTTAGACATAGAGATAGAGAAATAGAAATAGATTCAAGAAATTGAGGACAAGACATGGAGACGAGGCTAGACGCTGAAAGAGACAGGCCCAGCTCCCTTCAGAAGCGGCTTTCTAGGGCAGAGGGAGTGGTGAGTGAGCCGGGTCGATCCCCCTGAGAGCTGAGAGCTGAGAGCTGAGCCCTTTCCTCTTCCCCAAGGCCACACTGACGCCATTCCGGGCCCCCCATCTCCGCACACACCACAAACAGCATGAAAAGAGTGACTAAGTGGAAAAAGAAATTCTTCT